CCGGGACCAGATGGAATCCCAGCAGAGGCTTTGAAAATAGACCCAGAGACAACAGCGGACTTGATGACACCACTACTGGAGAAGGTGTGGAAAGAGGGCAAAGTACCCGAGGATTGGAAGAACAGTTACTTATTCAAACTTCCAAAGAAAGGAGACTTAAGTCAATGTAAAAACTGGCGTGGAATTATGCTTCTGTCCATTCCAAGCAAGATACTAAGTCGCATCATCCTGGAGAGAATCAAACAAGCCCTAGATGAAAAACTTCGTCCGGAACAGGCTGGATTCAGGAGAAACAAATCATGTATTGATCAAATCGCCACTCTACGGATCATCATTGAACAAAGCTTGGAATGGCAGTCACCTCTCTATCTCAACTTCATCGACTTTGAAAAGGCCTTCGACAGCGTCGATCGAGAGGTCATTTGGAAACTACTTCGCTACTACGGGGTCCCATCGACAATTATACACCTCATCCAACAGTTATACGACAATGCTGCATGCCAAGTAATCCACAACGGGAAACTTACGGAAGCCTTCGAAGTGAGGACGGGAGTGAGGCAAGGCTGTCTACTATCACCAATGATCTTCCTGATTGCAATTGATTGGATAATGCGACAGACAACGGCAACCAACGAGGGAACAGGCATAAAATGGACTGACACAAAAGACTTGGAGGATCTGGATTTCGCCGATGATATATGTCTGATTTCCCATAAACTGGAAGATATGCAAGTGAAAAGTAACAAGTTGGCAGAAGAAGCATCAAAGATAGGACTTCACGTGAACATAGATAAAACAGAGATGATGAAGATTCCTTGCCAACATCAACAGCAACAACAGACCACAATAAGCATAAATGGGAAGAACCTGAAAGAAACAACCTCCTTCACCTACCTGGGAAGCATCGTCTCAACTACAGGCGGAACTGACGAGGACATCAAAGCCAGAATCGGAAAAGCAAGACAAGCTTTCATTACTCTCAAATCTGTGTGGAGGTCAACAGCAATCAGCATCAAAAATAAGATCCGGATTTTCAACTCCAATGTGAAGTCAGTGCTACTATACGGATCAGAGACTTGGCGAGTCATAAAGAGCATCTCAAACAAACTTCAAACCTTCATTAACAACTGTCTCCGCTCAATACTCAAGATCAGATGGCCAGAAAAGATCAGCAACAGGGATCTCTGGGAGCGAACCAATCAGGAACCGATTGTGAAACAAATAGGCAGAAAGAAATGGAGATGGATTGGCCATACGCTGAGGAAACCATCAAGTGACATCACTAGACAAGCCCTCGAGTGGAACCCGAAAGGGAGGCGGCGAGTTGGTCGTCCAAGGGTGACTTGGAGGAGGTCATGTGAAGAGGAGATGAAAGCATGTGGGCAGACCTGGAGCAGGGTGAAAAAGTTGTCAGAAAACCGAAGTCAATGGAGGTGCGCAGCTGAAGCCCTATGTTCCTCTAGGAACTAAAGGATACAATAATATAATATATAATATATAATATACAATATAAGACTTCTTCCAGCAGTTAGGGTATGTCCCATCGCTTAATGAAATTGAGTATAACTTGAGTAAGAGTAAACTCATGTCATTACCACCTTTTTTCAGCAGAACGGAAGATATACCGTCTGGGCCAGTAGTGTTACTAAGCTTAAGATTTGCGACAGCTTTATCGGTCTCATGTGTGGTGAAAATGATGTCACTTAAACATTCGTCTGTTTTACGTGGGAAATCCACGACCTCATCGTTCTCTAAGGTTTATAATCTGGCGAAGTGCTTGCTAAACAGTTCACATATCGCCTCATTATTTTCGTAAGCAATGCCGTCTAAGTATATTATTTTCGGATAGGCTCTTTTGGAGTTCATCAACCTACTTTTAAAAAGTTTAGCTATTTCTCCTGAGTTATGCGGTGCATGAATGGCCTGCATTTCTTTGTTTCTGAGGCCTATATTTCTCAACTCTTCAATTCTACTGAGGAGGGACGTTATGGCAATTAATGACGATAAGTCATGATATCTGTAGTATTTTATTGAGTGCTTACGTAGACTTCTTCTAAACGATGCCGGAATATAATCACTTTGGGGGAATCTGAAGTTAAGAATCTTCTCGGGTGCAATGACGTCGTGAATTGAGTTAATATTCTGATAGAAGTTGTTAAGAATTGCATCTAAGGACTGGTTCGAAAAGTACGAGTCCCAATTAGAACATCTAATTAGGTGCTGATACAAGTCCCAGTCAGCATGTGTGTACAATCTCATAGGTATCTGGCCAGCTTCATCTCTGCGTTTTGTTTCAGGAAAGATGTCAAAAGAACAAACTACTATTCTATGGTCACTACCTGGAAATTCCTGTCCAACATGTACGGTAGATGGCGTTATGTTGTTCGTGAAAATAAGGTCTAGGATATTTTCGGATCTAGTGGGTGAATTTATGTGTTGTGTCCACCCTCCTGTGACGATGGAATTTATGAGATTATCGTACCTTTGGGGTCCTCGGAGTGAAGACCATGATACTTCTGGCAAGTTGAAATCGCCTCCGATAATTTTATAACTGAAAGGAAGATTGGCTGTAACATTAAAGATATTGCTAAGCATATTATCATATTCCCTGCTGGATGAAGGGGGCCGGTACACACAACCCACAAGTATAGGTTTACTTCTGACGACTTTTCTTTCGACCCAGATCGAGTCATTGAGTTGTGACAGAATTGGGTTACTAAACTGGGTTGCACACATGGATTGTTGACAGTAAATTAGTGTTCCACCCCCACGACCTGTCCGTCTGTCCCCGCGAAAAAGGTTGTATTTATCAATCCTTAGGCTGTCATTGGAGATTTCACATGTGCACCAGGCTTCGGTGATCATAATCAATGACGGTCTGCATATAGAAGCTATTGTACTTAGTGCTAAATGTTTGCTTAGAACTGATCTCGTATTTACTAGGATAATAGATAAACACTGACTATGTGGTTTCAGTGAGCGGACAACATCTTGATAAATAATCCGTGAGCTGTGAAACGGAACATCACTAGTCCAGTTGTGTACCGAGTCTCAGTAACCATTGTCGCTGTAGCTTGGCTTATCAACATTGGCGACTGAGTGTATGCCATCTTGTTTCAACAAGCATAGCGTAAATGGGAACCACACTACAATTAGCTGAGCCATTTCGTAGGAGCTTTGTCATGTTTTGAAGCAGTTGATGATGAGACACATCCATACTGCTCTCGGACGACAATGCAACGTTTGTGTATGTAGAAGCGGTAGAAAGCCAACAATTGCAGAGGTGGTCAGTAATATTTGCGTTTTCCTGTGAATTAGGGAATAAGGAAGATTGACTGTCAGCAAAAGAGGAAGTAGAGGGTCGTTGATGGAGAACAAGGTTACCTGTGTTACGTGAGGTGCGTTTCACGTAGTACTGTGTCCATCGTTACTGCTGTTTGATGGGCTATACTCAAGTCACTCAATCTTTTCATTTTGATGATGCCAAGCCCAATTTCTTGGGCGGATATAAAGTTCCGCTTCTGTTATGTGGTTTTTACATCTCCGAACTCTGTATTTAATGGTGATGTTGGGGATTTCTGTTTTTTTTTAGCTGTGACATAAAGTCACTAGCTGATTATTCAGGTTTAGACTATCTGACAAAACAATGTGAAATTTTTAAGTGCTCCGAAATGTAGAGTGGGGAACATGGACTAACTACACAGGGAACAGGAGCAGAACTACTTTAAGTCATAATTTTGTGTCAGGCAACTAGGTACGCTCACTCTTGAGATGTTTGAACGGATGTAAGTGGTGTATATAAGGCTTAATTTTGAAGATGATAATATCTCCACGCCACCACGTTTGAAGAGAGATGACTATGTTTTAGAGTGCATTCAAGGACTACGAATAGCGTAAGCGAACATTGGGGAAGCGAACTTTGGATGGTGAACTTCTGCACCCTCAACTAGCACAAAGTCAAAAGCTTATGAAATAACGAACAATACATATCAAAATATATACATGCTATCTAATGAACAATACAGTAATCCCTGAATGCGCTCTAAAATAGTTACCCGTCGAAACTAGGCATTACACGTCTAAGCCCGCCTGTTTTCTCTGAAAACCAATTTCATGGAGTTGGTTGCCACCTGAGACGATCACAGGGCAGTTAGCTCTCAGCCTTATGGAAAGACTAGATGGATGCGGAAGCTCACAGTGAGTACATCCAACTGTTAAGCTGCATTAATAACACTATTGTTCCAGGACTACAAACCATTCATTTTAGTTCTTTGTCCCCATCGTTTCCACTGATAACTGTGCCTGCTCTATTCTATTTAACATCTAGTCATCTCACTTCGAATCCACTCTTCTTTTATCTGCCCGCTTTACATATCTGATCGTCGAAACGTTCAGTGAATTATCAGCTGAGATATGTCTCAAGCTCACTGTATTGGAACCTGGAAAAAAGACTTTAAGTAAGTCTCCTCCGAGCAGGTTCATTCAAAAAACATTCAACCAACTAACTATAACCATATATCATGTATGAGTTTGTACATAGCAGAAGAATAAAATCAGTTCTGAATAGAGACGACCAACTAAAATGAAAGTTCTTGTGAGAAACAGAGCCAGGGTTTGCGTAAAATGTTTTGAAGAAGAGATACTACAATCCAGTTCTTCTAAACAAATACATACACGTGTAAAACGCCTGGCCAGACCTATTTGGCACGGGATAAAACAACAGTAACAATTTGTTCATATTCTAAACTTCTCAATGTATGTTGACCTATGGGTAAATTTACGCCTGACTATGCTCATACAGTACCACCCTAATCGGTAAATTTTGAGACTAACTTTAAGGTACATTTTCACATAGTGCGCTGCGGTATGTAATATCTTCGAAAGCCTGTTTGTCCAATATCAGTTTTGTAAAATTCTTGTATAGAATGAATATATTCAAAAAGAAGTTGAGGAAGTGAGTCTATGCAAGAATTTTACAAAACTGTTTGATATTGGACAAACAGGCTTTCGAAGATATTACATACCGCAGCGCACTATGTGAAAATGTACCTTAAAGTTAGTCTCAAAATTTACCGATTAGGGTGGTACTGTATGAGCATAGTCAGGCGTAAATTTACCCATAGGTCAACATACATTGAGAAGTTTAGAATATGAACAAATTGTTACTGTTGTTTTATCCCGTGCCAAATAGGTGTGACCAGGCGTTGTACGTACAACAAATACATAAACGTGTACACGTATATGTGCTTACGCAACCCATGACTCCGTTTCTTACAAGATTTTTCATTTTATTTGGGTAGTGTAATTCATAACATAGCACTAATTAGATTATCCTGTGTTAGTTTTCCTATCGGAGAAGAATAGGCGAGGAGTTTAAATAATGATTAAAAAGGCAAATCTTAAGAATGATAAAGTAATAGACAGATCTTGGCCTAATAATGGTCAAATTAGCGAAATAATGGTGCAAATGGCATAAATCTAATTATATAACGAAAATTCGATAGTGTTTTACTGTTGGCCATATGCATCATTTCTCCATTATTAACCTATTTGTTACTACTTTACCCGACTGGGTTCATAAAAGATATCCTAGTGTTATTCTTTCACTATAGGTATATTCTTGTCAACTGGTTAGCTTTTTCTTGATCACTTTTATGTTTTCTGTTTTTCGATCACAGCTTCATTCCACACTGTATTTTTGTTACAGGTGTGGAATTTTCAGCATGTGATATCTGTAGCTCAAATTTTGCAGGCCGACCGTAGATATCCGGTGTGCGTCGGAAGGGGATCGAACCTCACATCATGTGTGTGGTCGGCGAGAGTCCTAACCATTGTGCCACCGACGCACAACCTTGAGGAGCAGGTGGTACAGATTTACTGCTAGCATCTACTTTTCTAACACCTTCAAACACTGTTCAGTTTTCGGCTTTGCTACCGGCATGCCAATATGTTGTTGTCATAACTAACTGAGATTACCCTTAATCTATGTAGAACTTGATTTATTGATAATGTACTAACGATGCAATACTGTAGTAAAATGCTGAGAATTCCATTCTGTATCACAAGTACTGTTTTGGAATAAAATAAATTATTATTATGTTGATTCTGTTGGACTGCTTTTCACTTATCCCCAATTTAAGACAGTGAACTGATTGACTTTGCCCGTTACTTTACTTATTTGGGAAGCTGCATTGACACTGATATACTGGTTACTACGGAATTTTGACAGAAACACGATAAGCTATTTCGCATTTGTCAACTTGCACCACCCAGACATTCGGCTACCAGTCAAAGGGCGTGTACACTACGTCCTGTTCCATTTTACAGCTATGAGACGTATACGTTACAATCAGAAGACATAAATAGATTGGAAACATTTCATCATTAGTGCTTACATCAGATACTTACTTACTTTACTTCGGCTATCTCCTACGGGAGGATGAGCCGGCTTCATGAACGTCTCGAATCATCGCTGCCCAGGCGCGGCGATCTGAAGCAAGGTTTTGCGATAGGGATATCCAATTCTTGTTCCACATACGGAGTCCGTAGACGGTTTGTAGCCCCAGGCACTCCATATCTGCCTTGACTGTACCAAGCCATGTCTTCAGCTGTCCGCCCCTGCGACATCGCCAAGATGGTAATGGCGAGGGATTTAGAACTGATTTGACCAGATCGTCATCTGGTCGGCGCAGAACATGGCCAAACCACCGAAGGCGACGTTGTTGGACCAGTACTGGAATTTGGTTGATGTTGTAGCAACGACGACGCACTTCTTCGTTGGAGAGTTTGTCCTGCCAACGAACATGCAGAATGTACCTGAGACACCAATGGTCTAATACCTCGAGTCTGCGTAAATCTTCCGCGCGAAGAGGCCAGGTTTCACAGCCATACAGGAGAACGGGTCGTATGGAAGCTTGGTAGACCCGAATTTTAGTCCTGAGACTGATTTCTCTCTTGCTCCATAGAACGCTCCTCAGCTGTAGAAACGCATTCCGGGCGTTGGAGATTCGCGCATTCACTTCGTTTTTCGCTTGGCCGTTGGGGAGCATTATGGATCCCAGATATCTGAAGGATGGCACAATTTCAATAGGTGCTCCATTTAGGGATAAGATTTCATCATTGCTGGTGGATGTGTTCGAAAACATTTTGGTTTTGGAAGTGTTAATTTTTAAACCGATAGTAGGCGCGAGGTGATTTATCTGGTCGAGCGCCTGTTGCATATCGGGGAAGTTTTCAGCTAACAGCACGACGTCGTCGGCGAATTCGAGGTCGGTTATGTGAATATCGGGCGAAAGTTGGACGCCGTGGTGCTCGGTTAGGGCGTGCCGCAAAATCCAATCAATTGTGAAATTGAACAGGATGGGGGATGCTGAACAACCTTGCCGGACACCGCTGGTTACCTCAAAAGTGCGGGACTCTTCACCGTTCACTCGGACTCGAGCTTTGGTGTTGGAGTAGTATGACCTGAGCAGGTTGATTAGCTTGGTCGGAACTCCGTCGAGCTCCATTAGATACCAGAGTGCTCCTCGATCAACTGAGTCGAATGCCGCTTGGAAGTCGATGAAGCAAGCAACCGTCGGCTGTTGGAATTTGTCCCTGTGTTCCAAAATTCTTCGCAGTGTGAATACATCAGATGAGACAAGATAATAAGTAACTGGGAAACTAGATGTGTTAAGCAAAGTGATAAGCTTACTATGGTTATCACTTTGCAAAAGATTCACTACCTTTTATAATGAGATAGTTAATCTTTTCCAAATAAAGTGCCTGGAACATATGTAACGCCTTCAGATCACCGTCTGGCTGACCAGAAATGTTATATGGTGTCATCAGGTTGTAGTAGTGGTAGTGGTCAAAATAATGAAGTCCTGGCCCCACATTGGTAGATGAATGTTATCCAGCCGTGGTCGTTTGGGTACTGAAAGTAATGCGTTTAATATCATTAATGAAATGATACAAATAGCTCGGAGTGACGCAGATAATTTTACTATTTTTCAAAATTCCGTGTATTATCACTGGTCTTTATTAAACTATTCTCTCTCTCATACCACTTTGTCTACTAACGCATCATCCCAATTTTGTGCTGTTTCCTTTGGTGTGTACTTTTGGAAGTGCGGCGGCTGAAACTTATTCAAGTCGGTGCAAAGTTTATCACTTGGTCAGTCTAACGAATGTCTCCAGAAAGTGACTGTTACTAATATGACTTACTTCTCTATACAACTTAATTGTCAACATAGAATTCTGTATAAATTCCAGCAGTTCAGTTTGCCATGGTCTGAGTTGGATGATCTTTTTCACTTCACTCAAGAGTTTGTGATGCACTGATGCGTGATGCGTGAATGTTTTCCAGGCCATGTTCAAATAAATAAGGAGAACGCAGTATGCGAGATACGATAAAGTGCATTACAGTTCATTTACATTACTTAGATAAACAAATAGTTATCAGAGTAAGGTCTGTCTGTCTGGATTCAACATAGAACTTGGCACCGAAGTGCAGCAGTTCGAGTTGCCACGTTCCAAATAGCACACAGAGGTAGACAAGAAGATGAGTGAAGAGAATCAATAGAGTTTGACAAGTATAAGAGTGAAACAGAATGGGTAATGGTAGAAAGGAATATGAAAGATTACAGAGACTGAATACATCTGCGCTGGCCATTGACAACGATTTTGAGCCATGTCACCTATTGTCTCCAGCCATTGATTCCTAGAGTCCCGAGGCCCCCAACCCGAGAGTCTGCATCTCCCTACCTGACTCAGTTTAACTGTCAAGGATTTCATGGATTGATGAGGCCATGTTTTTGTTTGGCCACCACTGGCTCTTTTCCAACCTTCACCTATATCAGCTAGCAATGCCCGTCGGGGGAGGCGGTGGTTAGGCATGCGCAGCACGTGACCTAGCCATCTTAGTCTATGTAACTTTATAGCCTCGTCGATTGATTTTCCCTCTTTGCCCAACACTCTACGCCTAACGTCAACATTACTTACCTTATTAAACCACCTAACGTGAGGAAGAGATCGCAGACATCTATGATCGGAAGCAGTCAACCTTTTCATGTCTTCAACTCGTATTGGCCATGTTTCAGAGCCATAGAGAAGGACGGAGCGAACTGCTGAGCAGTACACACGTCCCTTGGTTGATAGCCGGATGTCACGCCTACGCCAGAGATGGTGTAAGTCAGCGAAAGCAGCTCGAGCTTTTCGGATCCGTGTTGAGATTTCGTCGCCAATCAGTCCGTTGGTGCTAATACAACTTCCCAAATAGGTGAAGTGGTCAACAAGTTCTATCACTTCACTCCCTATCACTAAGCTAGGAGTTGACGTGGTCCAGTCCTGTAGCAGCATCTTACATTTTGTAGGGGCGAATCGCATGCCAAACATACGGAGATTGCTGCTCAAAGTGTTCAGAAGACTCTGCATTTTGTCAGAATCCTCCCCTAACAGGACTATGTCATCTGCATATTCTAAGTCCATAAGACTATTCCCTGGTAAGAAGTCGATTCCTAAGTCATTACGTTCAGTTAAGGATACTTCCATCAGCATATCTATGATGAAGTTAAACAGAAATGGGGAAAGTGGACATCCCTGTCGGACACCACTGGTTGTTACCAATTCAGATGACAATTCTCCATAAGCCCTTACACGGCTACATGAGTTTGAATAGAGTACCTTGATTAGTGCAGTGTACTTTCTTGGCACTTCGTTCACAGTCAGACATTGCCATAGTACCAGAGTAAGAACTTAAATATATCAAGAATTGCGAACTGAGTAGTATTAGTAACAATAATAATGTTGAAACGAGTTAGGATAATGCTACTGATAAAAGATAGTTTTAAATGAATCAGGAATAATACTAAGAGGCAGAATAAAATGCTAATATTATTAATAATAATAACAGTTAATAAGTAAAACGTATTACCATTAGTAGATTCAGATTGACAATCATTTCTTTTTGTACACAGAGACCTGGTTTATAAACTCGAATCGCACAAGCCTCTGCCGTCACAAGCATCTTCCTGTTTCACTGTCTGCTGACAATAGTGAATGACTTGACAGCGTCGATACCACGTCCATAGTCCACATAATGTTTTGTTATTGAGGGTTTTGGCACTTTGACTTCAGCTCTTCTCAACCATTCTGGCAAATGCTTCATCATGCGAGTAGACAGTCGCCTTTCTATACGACTTATGTGTTTGCTTCCACAAACACACAAATTGATATACGCAGTTTGAAGTGTCGAGGATTGGTGACTGGTCTTCCCCAGATTGTTGAATGGCAAATTGATATAGACAGATTTCTTTGGAACTGTTTGGATAGTTTCTCAGGGGCTCAATTCTTTAGAGTGCTTAATAATGAACTTCTGAGGATATCTATTCTTAGGTAAAATATCCTTCAGAGCTTTCGTTTCATGCTCAATTTTATTGCCAGAACACGTTTTTCGTGCTATCTTGAGTAGTGTTTTGACAAAGTTCTTTTATTACTGGATTAGAACAAAACTCCTGAAATGCATGTACTGTCCTGTCCATGAAGACTTTCTAAATGTAGATCTTTCGATTAGGCCACCAGTCCTTTTCTCTAGAAAAATGTCTAGGAATTCAGTAGTACCATTTTCCTCGTGTTCTGTTGTGAAGTTGAGATTCGGATGGCATGAGTTGAATTTTATCAGTAGATCTCCGGCCTTTGATCTGCTTTCACAGACTATAAAAGTATCATCAATATATCTTAGGCATACTCCCCTTTGTTCCTTATGCTGTTGCAAAATACCGGCTTCTACGCCTGACAAGACTAAATCTGAGAAAAGTGGTCCTAAGGGGCTTTCCACTGCAACACTGTAAACTTGACGGAATAGACGCCCATCGAATTGGAGTCGGACATACATAAAAGCAACAATTCCTTCAGTCTCGATGTTGGGGTGACCATATCTTCAGCTTCTCTACATATAAAGTCAATAGTTTCAACGACTGGAACATTTGTGAATAGGGAGATAACATCGAAAGAAACCGGATGCTCACATTTCCACTGATTTACCAGCAAATTTTGAAATAAGTCGCCGGAGACAACTTTTTCATTTACGACACTATCATTTACACTTATAGTGTAAAAGCTGATGATACTACACAGTCTGAATTAAGGGGAGCGGTATTTAGAAAAAAGCATTTCATGCTGTAGTTTTGTGTCTTCTTTGCGGTAGGCCAACGTGACCATCATGTCCAGTAGACAGACAAGAGTAGATTCTTTTCAAAGTGTTACTGTAGCGGTTTGGTTTAATTACGAAAAAAACAGTAATATTTTGTTCCTTAACCTAATGTTTTATTTTATGGTACAGAATGCAAGATATTCGAGCGGGGATTTTTTCAAAGAACCATCAAAGCTTTTGTTTTTAGTCATACACAAGCACTTATTTTTAATTGTTAATTTCAGCCAGTAATCTTTACCGTTATTCCTACTGACTAATAATCAGTCAATCAAACTTCCGCTGTATTTTTATGGCTAATCCATTTGCTGAGACAATCTTGGAAGGATTTATCTGCCCAAAATGTATGCTTACATTCGGAACACCTGATTTACTGAGCCATCATTTCATATTAGAACATCAGGACTCTGTTATTGCAGAAAGCGAAGGTTCGATTTATTGTGACCATGTTAGCTTTCAGCAGAAAATGTATCAATAACGCAGTCAGTTCTTAGACCACAATTCGAGTTACAAAATTCGTTCGCTTTTTATGATCGAAGAGATGATAATCAGCCAATCGGTAAGTTGTTTCAAAAAGATGTTTTAACAAATTAGGCACCTGTCATTCCCTGACTTCGAAGTTCCTGGAATTGCGTAAATGTCATGTTAATCGTAGTTCAGTGGAAACAAATAGTTTGTTAATACGTCTAGAGAAATTAATTGAAGTAGTTGACGCACATGAAAGTGATAGAAAGGGTAATCTTTACTTTAGCGGCTAACTTGATTTTAGCATTTGAACAAACAATTGTACCATGGATTAATGCAAAAGTGGACCTTTGTCCATCCTGTGGCAAAGCATTTGGTTTAGGAACTGAAATAGCTTATCCCGATGAAAATGACGATAGCTTGGATTCTTCACAAAACACGTCGAATAGCATTTCTAAATATTGGCTAAGCAAAACTAATGTAACACGCCTAACAAACGCCATTTTGGACTACAATCCTATCTATCGTCGAAGGCATCACTGTCGTCTATGTGGATCCATTTTGTGTGCCGACTGCAGTTATTTCATTTCTGTAAATAAAGCTCGCAATCTTCTAAATGCTCTGAATGGACAAGATCTAGATATATTTCCAGGTTCTGTGAACACAACTGACACAGGTAACGAATCTGATCGTTGTCTCGAGTCGGAAAATATGTTTCGGCCTGGGAATATTCGTTTCACTACAGGAGGTAAGTGTTTTTCCTAACTAATAACGCACTAACTTGTTTACTTTTCTTGGAATCAGTTCTTGAATGGTGTTTGTGTGCCTTGTTTCTGAGGGTTTTTTTAAAAACTTTTGATGGTGCTTTTCGTGCTACAAAAAATTAAAATAGATTCATACTTCACCTAAATAATCTTTTGTCGTGTACTAGTTAGTTTTAAGTTTAAAAAAACAGTCGATTGCTTTATTGTCATCTAATGAAAGTTGTCTGTGGCACAGCGGTTAGGACGCTCGCCGACCATGTGTATGGCGCGGAGTTCGATCCCTGGCCGACGCACTCCTTTACCTTGCTAAGCCAGAATTATATCTGATAAAGAGGAAAGCTTCTGACTTGAAGCCCTATGTTCCACTGGGAACGTGAAGGAATAAAAAAAATGAAAGTTGTCGAGAAAGAACACTACCATTTTGATCATCCTTGGGGGTTTTCATTCTAGTCAGATAATTGATCAAATTTATAGCAACTTTGAACTAAGTAACAAGTAATTATGTCACTCAACCTAGTTTAGAAAAGTGCTTTTTGCTGTAACTTAGCGTAAATAGTTGATGCAGTGGCATTAAGTGAAGACTTACTAAACTGTCTCAAAGGCAGATAAAGTGATAACTTAAAACTGAGTGGTATGAAAAAACCATACCAGACATCGTAAAGTAGTTAATTCTTGTCTGAAATGTGGCAGTCTCCAGAATAGGCACTCAGGTTACCTGTACTATAATCCTACTACAAATAACTAGTTCAACATGTAACAAAGTGGCGTAGTATAAAACAATACAGTTTTGATGCAATCGAAAGCGTAGTACATCAAATATCTAACGAAGTTAAATATATTTTCCATTTCTGCATTATTTGTATTATTATTTGTACACCTTTCTGTGACTCAATTTGATTGTAAAATACACGATTCATTTTCTAGTGTAAGGTAACAAGTTAAGATTGCTTATTTGAATTAATTTATAAACTTAAATTTTGGTCTCTAGACATGCTGTTCTTTCTGTCCCTTTAAACCACCTGGTAGGGTCGAGAGTGAGTAGACTTCTGTCCTCCTCTCAAAATACTGTGATGCGGCTACGCGTTCATAGCCTCTGTCGCCAGGCGAGTCCTATTCACTGCCTTCACGCGGAGGAGGGTGTTTCTCGCAAAAGTGAAAGGTTGGATTGGTGAACAATCAGGTTTACCTTGGGGGAGTTGGAAAACCCTGATTCCAAACATATAGCGTACATGGACTCCAAAATTCGAAAGGATAGAATGGTGTATGAACCTGTTTCGGTCACTGGAAACCAGGAGGGCATAACTACTTGTTCTGCTCCTGTCTGTCTGGATTCAACATAGAACTTGGCACCGAAGTGCAGCAGTTCGAGTTGCCACGTTCCAAATAGCACACAGAGGTAGACAAGAAGATGAGTGAAGAGAATCAATAGAGTTTGACAAGTATAAGAGTGAAACAGAATGGGTAATGGTAGAAAGGAATATGAAAGATTACAGAGACTGAATACATCTGCGCTGGCCATTGACAACGATTTTGAGCCATGTCACCTATTGTCTCCAGCCATTGATTCCTAGAGTCCCGAGGCCCCCAACCCGGGAGTCTGCATCTCCCTACCTGACTCAGTTTAACTGTCAAGGATTTCATGGATTGATGAGGCCATGTTTTTGTTTGGCCACCACTGGCTCTTTTCCAACCTTCACCTATATCAGCTAGCAATGCCCGTCGGGGGAGGCGGTGGTTAGGCATGCGCAGCACGTGACCTAGCCATCTTAGTCTATGTAACTTTATAGCCTCGTCGATTGATTTTCCCTCTTTGCCCAACACTCTACGCCTAACATCAACATTACTTATCTTGTGTTCTGCTCCCCTACTTTATGAATCAAATTTCAGGTCAAAGCCCCGGCGTGTGTGTGCGGTGGCTGCTTAAGACAACCATCTGCTTGTGTGTTCTTCTTTCTTAATAGAAAAGCACCAACTGGCAGAAGTTACTCATTATCTTATTTCATAAGAGTCAAATTCTACTCAAGTGTGACGGAACTTACCGTAAAATTATATCAAACTTTAAGTTTTTCCGGTCAGACAACTGTAATGGCACCCAAAATAGAATTATATTTAGAATACTGTGTGATTCATTTCAATTCTATAGCCTTGCATTGGTCAGTCAGCTTTGTTGTAATCAACTCTAGACTTTTTGAAATCAAAACTAAGCATAATTAATGTATACTTTCCTAATTATTTAGATTATGAACTGCGTGTATGTTCTGTCTGTAAAGCAGTTCTTGAGAAAAAGATCAATAGTTTGAGGAATACATCAGTCACTACTCCAATTATTCAAATGCATATAGTAAGTCAGTTTTATAATAATCAGATGTATGTTAAATGATTTGACTAAATGCGATTATACAACTACTTAAAGATAAAGTTAAATGAAATGAACGAACCAAAGATATACAGTAGACATATTTTCATAATCACATGAAGAGATTGGCGTAGACGTTATGTGCATACATCATCTTTTGGTTATATCTTAATTCTCAAATGTAATCGATTTCATTCACTAAATGAGACCTAGTAGGACGAGTAAACCTTTCTTAAGTTTCGCATTTAAGTGCAAGTCTGTTGTTTATTTTTTCCAAGTTATTAAGGAACCATCAGATGATATGCATAAAGTTTTACAAATAATTTATTCACAGTATCATAATTTACTGTTTAGTTAATTTAATTCCTGTCTAATGTGGAGGTAATTTGTAACGCAGACTGTCAAGTGTTGTTGAAAAACTAGTGTTTTATGAAATATTTTTATTTGTTGTTCTTGTTTGTTGTGCTTAAGCACGAAGCATATTAGATTATAAATAGCAATAAAACTGTAATTCTTCAATACTATGGGTGAACTATTTATTTTGATGAAACCCTAAAACTTTGACTAAAGGGTAAAAGGATCTTTCAGGTATCTGAAAAACGGCTATAAATAGTTACGGATGTTCATATTGAAAAGGTAACACACATTCGAAGATAATCAAGGTGTTTTCAATGGTAGTCATGGAGCGGTTTTGCACTGTCTGTTGTTAGAACTCTTTCGTGTACCAGACTAAGAGTCTCACTTATTGCGTGAGGGCTGATGATGCTGCTCAATTGCCCACGTTTAGGCTAGATACATTAGGACTTGAACTCAGGACCCAGTGTCTGAAAGTCGACCGCTTACGCCAGTGAACCACATGCACTTTGTAGTAAACAGTCTTTAAAATTGGTAACTATGACCTCGAAGGCTGAAGATGTGGCTGGTTGGTTTAGGCACGTGATTTCCAACCAAACGAGTTATGGGCTCGAATCCCATTTCACCTACGAAGGTATGGACAACCAGGTATTATCACACACCATAGGTGTGGTTCACTGCTGAGTGCATGGAATTTCAAATGGTTGCTGAGTAACATTTCTCACTATATTATGACCTCGAAAGAGATGCTTATGGCTATACAAAGTGGTCATATATATATATATATATATATATACATTTCTGCAGCTAAGTAAATTACATTGTATTATAGTCAGCGAAGCTGAGACATATCCAACTCTGTTTATTATAGTCTGAGAGAATATAAAGTATCATGGTCTTTTAATTAACTGCTGGTCTAAAAATTGATTATTATTCATATTAATAATCACTTGTTCATTTTGTATAACAGTTACATTATGTTCCGATCACACCAGAAAATGCGACTGACTGACTGGATCCAACACAGAAATTTGCACAGAAGTGCATCAGTTCGAGTTGTTACACAAAGGTGGAGAAAAAAGATTTAAAAAAAACCATAACGAGCAAACACGTATGTGTGTGTGTGGGGGGGGGGTAGAAAGAATAGAAACAGAAAAATATTAGGGTTTTTAGATAAGGCAGAACAGAGAAAGTGAGTGCATCTGCGCCGTTGAGAACAATTTTGAGTCATGTCACTGATCTCCTCCATTCATTGGTTTTACGCATCCTGTGGGCGTTAACCAGGCAGTCTACACCTTCCTACGTGACTAAAACTAACTGTCGAAGATTTCATGGACTAATCCCAAGTTTTCATTTCACCACCACTATCTCTTTTCTAACCTCATCCTATGTCAGCTAACATTGACTGTTGAGGAAGGTGATGACTAGGCACTGGTCCTAGGCATTTCAATCAATGTAATTTCTCAATCTCATCGATTAACTTTCTATCCTTATCTAACACTCGATGCATAACCTCAATATTATGCACACGATTATACCAACTAACATGGAAGATGGGATCTAGACACTTAGGCTCAAAGACAGCTAGCCTTTTAATGTCTCCTATCTTCAACGGCCATGCCTCACAACTGTAAAGGAGGACATAGTGAACTGCTAAGCAGTATATACGTCCTTTGATCGACAACCGGATTCAGGAAATGTGAAGTTAGTGTTACAAAATGAAGTTTTTGTGCAGTATAAAACCTTATGACAACGTTATATGTTGTGCAAGAAGAAATAAAACAGCCAAAATCCGTCACAAATGAACTGTTATCACACTAGTTAGCAGCATATGATCTTTACAGCTGTGAAACCACATCATGAAAAGTACAACTTTCTTGATATTGTTCTGCATTTGTTCTCATGATGTGCTTTTATGAAGTGACTAATATTATCGTACTGCTTGATGCGGTGGATATGAGGCTAATTGACTTTCGACCAATGGGTTCTGGAACTAATTACTGAATTTTGACAGAAAATACGTAGGTTAAAATATAGTTTTTGTTTTTATTCACTACGCCTTTTTCATGTAAGTTATATCACATGATTATTCCAGTGAAAGTAGATTCTGTTTCCTATTTTTAGGAGTTCAAAGAATTAATGCAAAAAGTCTGTGAATGGCTTCCTTCGTATAGTATAATTGCTGAAAGTCTTAAGTAAGTTTTTTTTAAATTGGTGGTAGATTTTTGGAGAATAATAGAAGTTTCAGTTGTTAAGTTTTCGTCACTAACTAATATCAGTTAGATCATTGAGAACCACGGAGCAATGAACAGTTGTTTCGTCCCATTCCGGGACTCCTCAGCACTCCGTCAGTGATCGGACTTATAATCTGAATGACAGAAGTGACAATTACCACATTTATTACAATTATATATGCTGACACATTTATGGAAAGCGTTGTTTTGCTATGGATTTATAACTGCTTATGATGATCGCTAAAAGAAGTGTAGTTTCTACCTCTCATGTATCCAGAGTGACTAAATACACTGAAGTCTGGTAGTTAAATGACCATTGTAGGTACTGTGAGGTACGTAGCGAAATTCCGTGCAGTTATGTTCAATCTAAAACAAACAAACGACATAATTACATATATTTTGATTGGACACTAGCAACTAGTGCAACGTGTCCTTTCTTTAGTGCAGACTGAATTCTCTCAGTCAGGTTTTGCAATGTGGACACCATTCTAGGTAGCTCACCATCCCGGTACACATTAATTTGATGATATTGGATAGTTGGAGGCAATCGACAGAAAGCTTTGGACCTAGGTTTCGTGCTAGTTGGCACTCGTTAGCAAGGCGTATCTGCAACCTTGAAGGAACTGATGTCCCTTCTGAGATTCGAACCCGCGCCACCCAGTATTGCAGTCAAAGACGTTACCACTGAGCTATTCGAGCTCGCGATCGACCTTCCTCAGTTTGGTGATGACCGCCGGGTATTCGCATTCATCCTAGAACATGTGTCACTTGTGAGTACGACTTGACCAACAAACATTATGTTTACATGATCAGATGAAAGTATTTCGATGAGAAGACTGGAGTCTACCCCCCCCCCTTCGGCTGTACTTGGTCATTTCTGAACCAAACCTACTAGAAAATGGCATATATCCGACTCTTTCCATTTGATGTTTCGTCTTTATTTACAAAATACTTTATTCATTTTATACCGCTTGATTTGTTACATTTTTGATAATTTTTCCCTCTTCCATTGTAGTCATATATATATTAAGTTATTGTAGTACATGACATTTCTACCCTAATTTTCCTAGTTGTTTAAATTCTTTGTTTTAGAAAAAGCTATTAATTCTTGAAATTGTATTTCTGTTAACTACCAGCTCCGGTGAACAAAAGTATGCACTTGAGTCGGCAAGATCTATGCATTCTGATCTGTTACAGGCACTACAGAAAATTGAATTACTCGGGTAAGTCTAATTATGTTACAGCGTGTGTTAAGCACTGTTCGAGGTGTATTTCAAATCTTAGTCGTTTGATTGTTATTGTATTCTGCAATTAGCTAACTTTTCTTGGACAGAATTTAGCCTTAGATATTTGAAATAAGAGGTAAACGATTCTCCCGCCAGTAATATTAGTATTATTTTGGAGTCTCAGCATATTAATATGGTTTTATTTTTCCTATAAATATATACGATAGTCGGTAATGCGACTGATTTCTTTTTTTATTAGTACTTTGCCTGTGCTAAGTAAATCCTATTCACAGCCTCCTTACGACCGAAGGTGTTTCTTACACAAGTGGAGGGGTGAATGCGAACGTCAGGTGCTAACAACCGGACTAGTGAAAATGCAGGTATACCTAAGAGAACTGAGAAAACCTGATCCCAAACCTATGGTATACGTTAGCTCCAGAATCTGAACGGATAGAGTGGTGTGTGAACCTGTTTTAGCCACAGGCAACCATGGGAACGCAGATCCCAACGCTACTCCACCGCTTCCGTAGATCAGATTTCAGGTCGGAGGTGGCTCCTTAAGACAACCACTTGCTTCGATCCGAGCATCCGAATAGTATTCTAACCCTCGCGATTTCGTGTGGCACATCTCATATTGCTCATAATGCACTGAGTCTGTTTTAATAATAATAGTAATAAATCTTTCCTGCATACTAGACAGTGAAATATACTTAATATTAGGATTCTTGGTATGAAGTACCTGAAAGTCAAGTGTTTAAGTTAATGTTTCACTTTTTATGTGTTTGGTATAAATGAGTATTGATTCAAATCGATGTATTGTTCTTAGTAGACTGAAATACATAATAATATTTGATAAGAGAAATACGCTAAGCTTGATGGATTTTCACACGCACCAAAATTTCGGCATTTTTTTGCTACGATTAACCACGAGGTAAATTACATTTGACTCAAAGAAAGGAGTATTTTGGGTACAGCTTCTAAAAATTTGAGCATTCGGTTGGTGTCAAGTGTAGTGATATGCTATAAAGTTCTTTGCAAAGCTTGGAAACACTAGATTAAATATTGACCAACTAAATATTGCAAACTGTAGGCCGTTTCCTTCGCAGTTATTTTTGTCTCTGTTCTATTATTCTGTGTGCTACTTCGAAATTTGACATTTTGAACTCACGTGCAAAGTTCTTTGAGGACTCATCAGTCACCTCGATTCTCATATACTTTTTTTAATTATACCAAGTTAGTAAAAAGAGTGAATTTAACCATACTCTTGATTCGAAGGTATGGCATTCTGTTTCCTTAAACAATTTTCGAAAAATCGATTGTCTTGTTATATTTCAACGAACTTCTGACTCAAAACTCTTATCCTGTCAAAGAACTAACACTCAAATACCTCGACTAGTTTGATGAAAAATGCATGTAATCAGGAGGAATAAAATACCCTCAATTCTGTAGTTGCCTAGACGCTAACTCAACGTTGATTACGATAATAGAAGGTCTACACCACAAACTAAAAGCTGTTAGCAACCATTTCGAAAGTGAAATGTTCACTTTAATTCAGAAGGTTAAGATGGAAAAAATCACTGCGTCCACAGATTTCCTACACCAAAAATTCTAAACATTCGCGTGGGTTATTCGTACCATTTTTCATAGTGGAAAAAGTTTAATAATAAGCATTTATCTATAAGTCTGGACTCGTTTATCGACAGTAATAGTATTTATTTAATGTTCAAGTAGAATTTGGATCATGAAATCACTTTCTGTTGAAATGTTAAAATACCCCTCTACTATATACTATACTCTGTGATTTCAGGAGACAATTCTCAAAATTTAGTGAACCAGATTCAGAATTTTATGTCAACAGAGCACTGGCACGCTTAGCATTATCAGTTTCTCGAAGAGCTAAACATTTTGTTCAGAATTACCTTCCACCTTTACGAACTCTTCCCACCCTCAAGCAATATGATAGTCTAACTTCACAACGCAAAGATGAACTGTCAGCTAGGTGGCTAGAAGAAGACAGAGCTCTTGCAGAAGTGAGTCGTACATTGTTCTCACTCATTATTTGAATTATATAATTCTAATGTTCCGTTCTGCAAGCTAGTTCGAATCTCTTTACAGAAATAGTCAGATACTTCTTTCTCTATATTCCAGGTTGTTATTGTGTAACTAATTTGAGATTTCGTACAGTTTCGAATCTCGCAGACACCAGTCACTTGCCTGTTGTAGTGTATTGGAAACTCTTGTTTTGTTCTCTGAATTAAAAGAGCATAATTCACTGTGGAAATATTGCTAATGTCATGCCTAGAAGGAAGATGAAGGCTTTACAACTGAACCGTTTACCTGGGAGAAAACAACAGCGCGAAGACATCCACCACAGCTACAAATTTGTCCCATCATTTTAAAACCCTATATGCAGAACTTAAGCACGTTCTTATTTACTGCATGTGAAAACAAATAGCGAAGCATGAGAAGATTTAGTTCATCGCACATTAGTTCATGTTTACCCGGGAAGTAAGTTTACCTCAAATTACATTTACTGTGCACCTACAAGAACAACATTTCTGAAAATTAATGTCGGCGCCTTTGTAATGTGCGAAATCCAGATAGATCTAACCATTATGCAACGTAGTAAACCTGTGAGTAGAATTTATAATGCGTAATATGTATCGGTTGCGTCGGTGGTATAGCGGTCAGGACGCTCGCCTACCATGCATAGGGTCCGGGGTTCGAGTCCCGGCCGGCGCACTCCTTTACCTCACTGAGCCAGAAATAATGCTGGTAAAGAGGAAAGGTTGGGCATGAAGCTAGCAACCCCATCCTGTAAAAATAAAACACTGCTACAGAAACTTCCAGCCACTAGCTTGGAGCCCTATGTTCCACTGGGAACGTGAGGGGAAAATTATTATTATTATATATATCGATTACCTCATTATTCTGATAAAAGGTAACTCATGTTCATTGATGTATAGTGAATCAAAAGTAAAACCATCTGGCACTTAACAATCACTAATACTATTCTCTCCTAATGGTTTCATTAACTAAATCATAACACAAAGGAATACTAAGTTGAATTGTTTTTAAACATTTTTCAGCTAATGGAACGCGTCAACCTAAGTAAACCGAACGGTACAGATATCAGTTCAGGTATAAATACAACAACTACTACAAAACTTTGGAAAAGATTATTCCAACAGCCTAATTCATATTCTAATCCTAAGGGGGTGGTGGTAAACCCTCAAAAGAAGAAAACTACCATTCAGTCTTTGAGTGATATAGCAAGAGAAATAGATCAAGTTGCTGCTCAGCTGATGATTGCACGTAAAGAAGGGCGATTACGAACTGCAGATGAATTAGCAAGAAAACTTGACCAACTTGAACAAGAATTTCAATATGTCAGTAATAACCTTGATGATGATAGTGAACTGTTGACAACCTAGCTAGCTGTACATATTTAAAAAAACAGTCAAAAAAAACCATTAAAAAACCAAAATCACTTTTTCCAGATCTGATTAATTTATTACACACTTGATAATTTTCAACTTTAATATATGCCATATTTTCACGAATAATATATTTCTTCATTTACAATATTTGGGATAACATTGATGGGGGAAACGTTTTACAAAGTGAAATTATACAAATCCGAAACTTTTTGTTTCAATTGCCTGTAACAGTTTATTTCTTAAAATGTGTCTTGATGAATACAGTGGGATGTAAAGACGTGAAATACAAGTGTTTGCAGATGGCAAATGATGATCATCCGGAGGTTTCACCGTAACTGATGGGGCAGGTTGAAATCCTAGTGCACTAGCAGGAAGAGTTGGGCTGGACGTCCAGAAGTATAGCTGAAATATTGCAATTGGAATTAATAAGCTTAAGTTAGGAATTTAGCTAGTGAATCGATGAATGTAAACGAAGTGAAGCAGTACGAAAATTATATTAAACTACTAGACATGAGGAGAAGTCGTAGACATATAAATGAATTAAACTTGACCTACATAGACCTCTGAGGTGTGAAGTGAGGTATAAACCCAATGGGGACATCAGAGACGTTATGAAGAATATAAGATACGGGTGAAATTAGGGTAATATTTAAGCTGAAATTTCTTCAAGGATATAACACAGATTAAAGTGCAGCCAACTGGAGTCATTCTGGTTGTCAACTAAGCTAACTGTATAACACTTCTACCAAATTACTGTGTCTGTCTGTTTTCGACATAGAACTTTGCACATATGTGCGGCAGTTCAAGTCGCCACACTCCCTCCTTGTAGCACACAAAGCAAGAGAAGAAAGTAAAAGAAAAGCATAATAAAGACAGTAAACAGAGGTGAGACAAAGGAAGAGTAATAATGAAGAACAATATAGTTTCATTGGAAATCATAAGTCACAAAGAGTGGATGCATCTGCGCCATTGAGAACGATTTTGAGCCATGTCATCCATTGTTTTCAGCCATTGGTTTTTACCGTCCCGAGGACCCCAATCAGGAAGTCTACACCTTCCTACATGGCTTAGACTAACTGTTGTGGGTTTTAATGACTGGAGCCAAGTTTTTGTTTGACCGCCGCTAGCTTTTTTCCACCCTGACCCTATATCCGCTAACATTGCTCGTCGAGGGAGGCGATGGCTTGGCATACGTAACACATGTCCTAACCATCTCAGTCTTTGTAACTTCACGACTTCGTCGATTGATTTCCCCTGTTTACCTAGAACTCGACGCCTAACTTCAATGTTGCTCACCTTATCATGCCACTTCACACGGGAGATAGAACACAGGCACCTATGGTCAAAGACAGCTAGTCTTTTCATATCTTCCACTCTCAGTGGCCAGGTCTCACAGCCATAAAATGTAGAGCGGAAGTACAATCATGTTTAGATGACAAAATTGATAACAAAATCTACAAAGCTTCACACATGCTAAAGGAATAACAACAGCTATGGTGATGTGGAAAATTTTGTTCCCGATGAATTTATGACTATGAAAATTGCACGACTGTATTGGAATGCTAATGGGCGGGGGGGGGGGGGGGAATTCTGTTACACTCTGTTAGAAAAAGAATGTACGCCTAGTCTTGCTAGGATGTTATCATATTCAAATTTTAATTCAGTTACACACTACTGAATTCCGAAAATGAAGGTCTTTTTGTTGAAGAAAAAAAGTCACAGCATTATACAGTAACTGATAGTTACAAAATGAAGTAAATAAAGGAGATAATCTATTCTTACCAGATCTTGGCGCTGCTTAGTATCCATTCCACGAACAGTACTCCAAAACCATTTTTTCAAACGATTCACATTATCACAGCTTTTAGTTAAATCTATGTTTGAGCCTGTTCCTGTTTCGTCTAAGAATGTTGTATATCCAGATAAAACATCAACGTCTATATCACCAGTCCCATTTAGCAGTAGACGTAAATCCTCAGGTGTTAGTCCATCGAATGCATTTCGAGGAAGTACATCAAATACACCTTGTCGAAGTTGCTAAATAATTAAATAAATACACAATCACAGGTTATCTGGTTGAGAAATATTAAAGTGGAAGATTTACATGATATATATATATATATATATATAATATTTATTTATTATTCTCTATCATGCAAGGTTCATATTACAAACATCTTACGAAGATTATTACATGACATTTAATGTTGGGCGGTTTACGATGTCTTGTTTGTGTAGTTTAGGTAAGCCGTATATGCACGGTGTTGTAGAACCAGACGAACAAAGTTGTTCGTATAGTTCGTACTAATAGTGGACTCATCTTTCACTTAGTATTTTTTTTCAGCTGAAGCTCCGTCTTTTCACTGCTATCTTTTTAAAGCGATATATAACTATAATAATTAATAATGGCTTACCTGCAATGGTTCTTGAACTGCTGTTAACATTTTGAACTCTGTATACTTCTTAACAAAATCGAATACATTACTTTCATTGACTTCAATTTCATCACCGCCAGGCACCAAAGCATACGATGAAGTACCAGTAGTAGTTTGATTAACTGTACCTGATGATGTCGAACCACCTTCTTCCAAAGCAGGAATAAGTGAAAAAGTGAGATTATAGTCTTCTATGCTTCCGGGAGGCTAAAGTTGGAAAATTGATATGAGAAAGGAGGATAAAAAAAAATAAGTAGTGAATACACAAATTATGGTAAAGGTTGATGTACTTGAAAGTATATACCACTTAAACACTTAGTTAATAAAGAAAATATTACCATCCACCAGAATTTAGTCACAAATGTACGAAGAAGCATAGAAAATGAAAATGACAAAAATAATATAGAACATAAAGCCACTGTAATACTGCCGTATAAAGAGGGAACATCAATGGCCTTATCTACGATTCTCAATGACACTGGAATTAGGGTGGCATTTGGACCAACCAACTCCGTCAACTTAAGGATCCGATAAATCCAGTTAAGAAAAATAATATAATCTACAAAATACCATGTAATGACTGCGGTCAAACCAGCAGATCTCGATCAATTAGATTATCGGGACATGAAAATTTAGCGAGACATAGAATGACCGCGCTAAGTTAAATAACCTAGAAAAAAGCTCAGTCATTGCACTGCATTCACTTGCATTTCACCACAAAATAGGGTAGGGCAGCGTGAGAGTATTAAAAAGTAATATAGTTAGGTGGAGAGAGAGAGACAGAGAGGTTAATCACTGAAGCTTTGCTCATTGATTCGACACTGCATACGTACAGTCGATATGATGCAACGCCTATACCGGAGATATGGAAAGTGGTAACAAGAAAAATAAAATGTGAAGCCACTGGACTTAACTGATATGATAATGAGCAATAATATGTGCTTGAAACGTCACTATATGAAGTCTGAAATAAATTTATTTAACATGGAATTACATTCTACCAGAATGCCCGATTTCTACACTTACATTAGTTAGTCATTTGATGTTCGCACAATTACACCACTTTTTATGTGCAATGAGGTCTATATTTCGCCATTGAAAATGAAATAAAGATGTGTAACAATGCACTAAATCATAGGAAGACTGTATTAGTTTGGGAGATAGGTAACTGCCTTACTATGTTACACACAGATGATAGCATAAAGCAGGTGCATATTCAATACAGGCTTCCCGGCTACCGTGATGAAGAGGCATGTGCAATGAGACAAACTAATAAGTTGAATTTAAAAAAGTCTTTACCTTCAAAGGATCTTCAGAAGTATGAAGGAGAAGCTGGCGTAATCCTTCAAACGTCGCAGGGTCGTAAAACGCAAAATCATGCCAATGAAGAACGCGACCAAGAATACACTTCAACACAGGCCGACTGAAGTGTAATGGACAAGTTTCATTCGTCAGCAAGCACAAACCGATTACACGACCAATGCCTCTGTTTAAATAAAAAAAATCCAGTATAAATATTGCATTATATGAACAGAAATAGGAAATATGAACAGTTCTAACTTACCTGTATATAGAATATCTTGCCGCCAGTTTAGTCGAATCATAGGAATGGCTGGAAGTGACATTACAACCAGGAACTGCTCGAGGGAAATAATAACCCTGTAAACCAGGCTGCCAGAAAAGTGGAACACGTTCTAGATCTTCTGCAAATGAACTTGACGAAGATAGATTAGATTGTGTAGTAGGAGCGACAACGGAAGGCACAGTTACATCACGCCAGTTTACTAAACCTTCTAGAACCGGTTGGCTGACAGTGACGGGAACCCGAGGATGATCGCTTTGACTGTAATAAGCAAAAAGATTAGAGAGATCACTGTAAAGATCCTTAATGAAAAGAAAGACAATACAATTTATCCAAAGAAAGGGATACATATTAATAAGGAATTCAGTGCAAAGAATTAAAAAAAATGACTTGCTTTTGTTCATTTGTATCAGACATAGTTATAAGGGCTCTCGCTTCATCAACGCGATTGCATAAGGCTTCTTCATTCGTTAGTAATACTGCGTGTTCCGAAGCTGGTAATTCAAGAAGCATTCCAGTGACACGAGCAGTTAGTTGTTCATTTCTTAATAGCGGCTCAATATGTGCAAATAGTCGGTTTGCAACATAATTTACACTTGTTGCGTCGTTTTGAGCGATTGCAGCAGTATCGGACAGATCTTGAACTTGGTCAGGACTCGACACTGAAAGTAAAACGGTGAAGGACGATAACAGTTTCAGGCAACAGAAACGCAAAGAAAACACAATGACCAGAGGGAGAAAATGGCGTTTCACGACATTCTATGTTATTTCCTTTAGAAACTTCGTTAATGAGAATGAAAACAAAAATAAGGTGACAGGAGACATCTTGATGGTGTCCAGCTACCATCTTCCCTGACGATAAATGTCAGCTGGAATTGGATTAGTTTGTAGAAAAGGAAAAAGAACTGGTCAGACCACCAAAAACTGAAGTCTACAATTGTTGGTTTGAGTTAAGCAGAGATGAAAACTATTTGGTTGACGTTTTCGGGGTGCTTAAAATAAATGGGTGGGGAAGACTGCTGATAATACGGGTCAAATCTGTTCGAAATATCAAAATTGTATTCACTCCATTTCATAGTCCAGTTGCTGGATATCCTCCCTAGTTATCATGTCTCTTTCCCGAACGTATTTATTCATAACATAACATTTCTTCCACTACCTTTACGTGTAACTACTTAAAATGATGCACTTCTGTTAAGATAAGTAAGACAGTCGAGCTTAGAATAACAGTAAAAAAGTGAGACAATTAATACTGAACTATTTAGACAGTTACAATTATAGTAATTACTTGTCAACTGACCTGGGGAAGCGTCTACACTGGACCTAATAGGCTGTGTTGAGGCAGAAATGTCAGGACACCTTGATGAAGCGAGATGCTCTGTAGTTATTGGATTAGCATGTGATATTTCAGGTGCCTGAACTGCTGACGCATTAGAAGAGCTTGTTTGAGGACTACAATCAACTGATGATGATACTGCTTGAGTTGACACTGGATAAAATGGGGAAGCGTTTGCTGAAAGTGCTCCAGTTCGTCGCCAAGCGCTTAATCTTGGACGTGATCCAACTGTGTATGTATGCGCTCGAGGTTGAACATGATACGGGTAAATGGAAACGGAGGCTTGAGATGATGGTGTTATTTGTTGACCACTAGTTACAGAATGAGACTGGATGCTGCTAGTTACTGATTGAGTAGATGGTTGAAATAAACTAGATGCTGTTGATTGCACTAAAACTGAAGTCTGTCTACTCGTAGGAGTATTTGGTTGAGAACGGTTCACAGGTGAATAGAGATAGGGACGACGAAGCGATAGTGACAGATTGCCTAAAATAGTCAAAGAAATTTCATGAATTAGTATATTGAGCACTAAGTTATACATCTATCTATTAAGTAGACAGGTGGAAATAGTATTCCATAGGTAGATCTTGTCTCCATAGGGAATAGACAGTCAGAATAAAAAGTAATGTTCTTAATTTAGCGGAAAAAAGACTTACTCGAAGAGTTTTGCTGAAGAAGTGAACTCAAGTTAGGCAAAGATTCTTGTGATAACACAGCTTCCGTAAAAGCTGTGAAAAACGATCTAGCAACACCAGTACCTTCACCAGGTTCATCCTTGAAAGTAACTTTAATGCGTCGACATGTCAAAACTGGCTGCGGGGCTGAAGCGATTGAATTTCCAGTAACTAAAGAAGGAGGAGTTACTGGACTAGTATTGAATAACGATCCTAGCAACGGTGAATCAGGATTAGTACCAAGAAGAAGAGCAACGGCCACATGACTAGCATTTGCGCTGAGACGAGGCAAAGACGGATCTCTTTCTTGGTTGTTTGAAGTGGGATGATAAAGTGGCGAATCGTTCATATTTGCAAGTGAACTACTGGTGGTTGTGTTAGTAAAACTGTTAGATGATGTAAGAGACTGACGCTTCGAATACTCTACGTTCAATGATTTGATTGTGTTTAAAATAAGTGAATCATGTTCCCGTTCAACCTGTGAGATGTAGAAGATGAAAAGAAATATGATAGGTAACCATACAGAGAAATCGCGAGCTAGTAATCTAGGCGAGGTTGAAGTTGAGAAACAATAAAGTAGTTGAATATTATTTTAGAAATCAAAGTACAAAGGACTTTGATATTGGGTGAAATAAAATCGTCAAGACGAACTATATATAACAGTAACAATAAGTCGTTATAAATCATTCATTCATAAGGCGGGTAGCTCTAAAATCCTTTTCCAAAAGTCTAAAACGTGTAAATCAATGCATTAAGCATTTGAAAAAGGTGTGAGAAACGAATAGTTATTTGATTGGATGGAGGATTTCATCATGAGCTGAGGTCAGTTAGCGAACCACTGAATATAACAGTAAGGTGAAAACAACAGTTACATAACAACTGCTGATAGCGCTCTTGTGAGAAATCTAAACCAATGGGATTCATCAAGTCAGGTAAGAGATCACTTACTCACCTAAGACACTGACTGGCAGTTTCACTATAGTGCATCACGAATTGGCAGAACTTGAAATTCGTGGACCATTGGATCGCGTCCCAGTGAACGGTCTACTGGATCACCCACCTTGTAACCACAAAGTCCTGGGTTCGGATCCCAAATGGTGTATACTACTGGAAAGTCTCAAAATAGGATGAAACAGCTATTCAGTGTTCACCGCAGGTTTTCTAATGGTTCTCTAAATGATTTCAGTTCATGATCAAACCTTGAAACGACTACTCATACACAAATTGAGATATTATAGTTCTTTACATACGGAGAGACTGCAATAAACACATAGATTTACTACAATGTACACAGAAATACAAACAGTATTTCTTTTGTATTGTATTGTGCAAAATAATGGATGAAATTACCTCTAAAACTAAATCCCTACGTGCCAAGTTACGCAAACGTTCCATTTGTTTTCTGAATCGAACTTCTTTTGCTGGAAATCCACCAAGTTCAAAATAATAACTTCCTTGTTCAGTTCCTACATCAGAGGCGAAATGGTTTCCAAAGAATTCTAAAGTAGAACACCACCGTGAAAGCAGAGTTGCAGATTGTCCAACTGAATCCAAAAAGTTCGCTCCAACCATTACTATTAGGATATAAAAATTGGGCAAAAAAAATTTAGAAAGGCTCTTGGTTTGAATGTATATTAGAATACAATTTGAAGAATGATGTTTAACAACACGATGTACACAACACTTACATTGTTGTACGTCAGACGATGAAACCTCACAACTTCTATTTTCGGAGTTGTTTAAAACACTAGTATAATAATCCCTGCACATACGTTCACCCCATGTACTCGACATTGCATTCATGTGTATTGGAATTTCATCATTCTTGTGAGTATTGGAAAGATTAACTGTCGATTTGATAGGTAAAAGTCTATTTTGGAAGGTAGAAACAAGATATATATTTAGAATTGATCAAGAATATGTAAAAATCAATTTTTATTTCTTTAGTTTACAGAAGATATTTGGAACTTACCGATGACAGCCAAATAGTTCAGCTCTTTCAGAAGTTGGTTGCAGCAGTTGAGGCTGTAATGCTAGAGGTAATGATTCTGACAATGGTATATCTAGTAAGTCAGGACCGACACCTGATAGAGACAAAACACTTTCTGAACGACGGAAGAACGAATCACTGCGTTGGGTAATGTGTTCAGGAACTAGATCTTTGTGGTGTAAATTAAAATAAGAACAAATCATAGATATGAATGTAGTGAATAAAATTTTCAGAATGTAACAACTAGTTTTTTTCTATAATTTGGTTTGTAAGGGTTAGTTATGTTTTTACGAGTTGATCACGGATTGATATAAGTTAGAGAACCACTGAAAATCAGGGAGTACTGGGCAGCTGCTGTTTCATCCTAGTTTGGGGATCATCGGTAGTACGCATCCACCACCAGGGTTCCAACCCAGGACCTTCCGGTTGCAAGGCAAGCTCGTATACCATTCAGCCACTGGGACCCGATTCAATGGCTCATGAATTCTAACTTCCACCAACTCGTAAAAACATAACTAACCTTACAAACCAAACTATAGAAAATTAATCTGATGCTCGCTAGTGTCTTACTACAGGGTTGGAGTTTCCTGAGTTCTAGTGAGAAGTCGTGACCAGTGAGGTCCAATTAGATATCACGTGTGTGGATGGATGCCCCACCAACGACAATGGTTGGAGTCGCGCTAAATCACGAAATTGTAACAGTTAGAATTCACCAGCCATTGAATCGGGTCCCAGTGGCCGAATGGTATACGAGTTTGCCTTGTAACCGGAAGGTCCTGGGTTCGAATCCCAGTGGGTGCGTACTGCCGATGATTCCCAAACTAGGATGAAACAGCAGCTGCCCAGTACTCCCTGGTTTACAATGGTTCTCTAACTGATATCAATCCGTGATCAACTCGTAAAAATGTAACAACTAGTGCTTGTCGACATATCATTCATAATTAAAAAATCATGAAAATAAGTGACATTGTGATATATATATATATATATAACTACCATTCATAGATGCTTGTCTTAAAATGAAAAGTGACTTACAGTCTTCGGAATCTAAGCATTTACCAAAAGACATTTGGAGTCGACGAAGTACAGGTGAAGTTGATGGCTATACAAGAAAAAAAGAAAGAAAGAAAAATAATGGACAAAGAAAAGCAAAATCGACCAGACTAGAGAGTAGCGGACCACGGAGTGAGAACGCACAAATGACCATGAATACATAACATTCGTTGGACTACGCAATCTCCCGTTCTTATTACAGTGTAACAACAGAAGACAAGGGCCAGTCAACAGATCGTTTATTGAAGAAATCAGCACGTATTTATATATATTTTATGTACATTATTATAGTTTAATCAAGCAGACAAACAGTCTTCTGATCGGTTGTTTCTTGCTCAAGGTTATTCTGTACTGCTTGTGACTGGTTGCTCAGAAAGTTAAGCCATATATCTGCGAATCTTATTTGCCCATGTTAAGTCTGCTGTGATTGGTTGTTGAATCAGTCTTCTTCATATTTTCTCACGGCCAATATTAGCGACATAGACATTGACGTAAATTAATGTCTACCAATTGGCCAGCAGCCTGCTCTCACCACAACAGCACCATTGTGATTGCTGTGCACCAACTGATGCGCCAAACCTTATCCTAACCTCGTTTTAAAGTGCTGTTTGGACAATAGCTTCATTATTGTCTCTATTTTGCTTGTAAATAAACATATGGCAGGAGAGTATTTAGCTGTTCATATAGATGAAACCATTTTGATAGATATAAAAATTGAAAACTGATATCCTTCAATGTAGTTTTTCTCAGTTACGTCACTGTAGAATACCATCTTTAACATATTTCACTATTATGACGCTAATTTTTCTAACAAATAAACGGTTTTTTGATGTAGAATACACAGTAAGTTATGTATCCAATGAATGGTATTGCGTCCAAGATTATTGGTGCATTCGCATTATGTGGTCGCTATTCTTTATTTTTGGTTTCATGGTCAAAACTGAAGGTAAGTAAAAATAGGTTATACTCTCGATAACAAACAAAGAATACAAAAATGGATGAAAATTAAATGGAAATTGTTTATCTACCCACCTGTCCAATTTCATCAATAAACTTTTGTTGTGTCTCTCGTAATTTTTGAATAGCATTCAATTCAGATAATAGGGCTTTCATATGTCGTGTAATACCAGATGGCCAGGAAGATTTAAATGCACGGAAGAAATACAACAAAGCATCCAAAATGTAAGCAAGATGCTTGTTTACTTGTGGATCAACAATAGGCACACTGTCACCATGATCACCACCTGAAGCTCGCATAATGGAAAATAAATAGGCTAAGACATCTTGTTTTTCACCAAGAACAACCGCTACACCGTCTGTACTATTACTAGCAGTTGAAATATCAGTTGAAGTTGAACGTATGTTCGTTGTAGATAACGATAATGATGATGATGACGTGGTGTTTGGATAAGCAACAGGTCTCCGTGTGTTCAATCCTGGTGTATTATTACGTCTGGAATTTATATCACTGTTTGTCTGCAATGGATATGTTGAATATTAGTCATTGGAAAGTACAAAAAAAGCAATAAGAATATAAATAAGAGTATCTGATTCACAGAATCTAAAATCTAATTTAACCATAACTTTTTTGTATCTATAACTAACTGCTTAAAATTACACAGGAAAACTATGCCCATTGGCATTCATTTGGGAGTGACTAATTTTAGGGAATGGGTAGTTCATAACTGCAGGTCTGATCATGAGTTGGCATCTGTTAGAGAACCATTGGAAAGCCTGCAGGGAGTACTGGATAACTGTTCCGTCCTAGTTTGGGACTCTTCCTCAGTACGCACTCAGGACATTCCTGTTGCAAGGCGGGCGACCGCGTATATCACTTAACCACTGGAACCCGATTCAATGGTCCAGTATTTCTTGGATTCGAACCCTTAAGACGAGGTCATGCATGCGTAATGCTGAAAAAGTCTAAAGTAGGATGAAACAGCTGTTCAGTACTCCCTGATATTCTAGTGGTTCTCTAACTGATATCAACACTTGTGATCAAACCTGTGACCAATCAAATTCCTGCAAACCAACTCTTGATAGTATTGGTTTTGTAGAGATTTTTGTTTGATTGTATGGAGGATTTCACCATGAGCTGACATCAGTTAGAGAACCACTGGAAAACCTGGGAGTACTGAACATCTGTTTCGTCCTAGTTTGGGACTCTTCAGCAGTACGCACCCACCGGGGTTCGAACACAGGACCCAGAAGTTAGAATTCAAGAACCATTGGATCGGATCCCAGTGACTCAATGGTCTACGAGCTCGCCCTGTAACCGGAAGGTCCTGGGTTCGAATCCCGGTGGGTGCGTACTGCTGAAGAGTCCCAAAATAGGACGAAACAGCTGTCCAGTATTCCCAGGTTTTCCAGTGGTTCTCTAACTGATGTCAGCTCATGGTGAAATCCTCCATACAACTCTTGATAATGTATAATTATAGTTGAGAAAACGGCATTAATTAGTTCTATATACAAAAAATGTTTCTGTTAATTGTTTACTGTCAAAAAAGGCAGTAATAATACGATGGTCACATTCTCTCAATGACAACTGAAACTTGTTCAAGTAGTTTGATATCAGTTACTTTGAAACTGTCTAATGGTCACTACCTGTCTGACTATTAATCATTGTATATTTCTAGTAAGCATTTAAAATACTTTTGACACTATTGTAGAAGTAGACTTTATATAAATAAACTCCTCGAACAGTCAGAATATGACATGATGATACGATAAACTGAAATCAATGATTTCTGAATGTTTATTAGAACATGAATGCAAAAGTAAATTAACTTACACCTGAAGTTGGGATATCAGAAACGGGATTAACACCTAAAGAATAAGAAAAGATAGAATATGAGGAGAACGCTATTCAATATAAACAATTATAGATAATAAATTAGCTGTTATTCTAGATAAATATTGTGTGTTAAGCGATTAATATTAAACAGTGAAACTGATATAATTACCATCTTGATTTTCATTATTTTTTGATACACCTTTTGTATTCGTTTTATTAGGGAGACATGCATTCCAAGAGGTGCTAAAACGTAGTTGAGCTTCCAAATTATCCAGTGCTGAAGACGCCCACTGCCATATTGGAATCAAAGCTACACCAACTGATGCCACTAACTGTGCACAGTGAGAATCAGATTCTATAGGAACAGAATTTGACCTTGTTGTACAGTTTTTAATTGGGTATGTATGATAATATCTTGAGGTTGGATTGTAATGGGAAACTGAGGAAGTGATGTTACTCTGAGGTTGATTATAAGATGTGCTAGTGATAGACACCAAGTTAGCTGCGCGATACACAGGCATGCGACGCTGTTGTTCATAAATAGTTAAGGAAAGACTGATAGGGTAGATGGCTGATGTACGACGTAGTACAGTTGAAAATTGCTCTGGGTCCCCTTTAACTTCAGTTACAAGGTCAGCAGTCACCCGCAAGAGGCAAGCACATGCCCGGCATAAATAAACCTGAGTTGTCATTATACAACCCGCCTGTGAACCAAATATAAAAAAGAAATAAGTTACCACATATTATCTATAAAATTCGTAAGCAATAATCACATACGATACAATTCAAATTTGCAAACTAATTCATACGATAACTTACAGCAGAAGAAACAGCTGGGGTAGCAACAGACGTGGTGGAGTTAGTAACAGCAGTTTCAGTTGAGACAGTTGTATTTCCTGTACTTGTGATAACTAAAGTTGGAGTTGTAGTAGATGTGGATGGATTTAAATTTATAACTGACTGAACAGCCCGACGTCCAGAAATTAAACTAGAAGCATTGAGTCCATGGGTAGAAACAGAAGTTATGTTAGCCGAACTCTGACTTGTTGTCACCGGATTTAGTTCACGAATGCTACTTAAAGTATCTGTACTGTTTGCTGAGGTAACTGCAGTATCAGAAGTTTGAGAAACGGCTCGTGAGCCTAGGCGAGAGAAAAAAGATGTTCTTGGCCACGAAACCCAAGTAGGAGAAGTTGATCGACTACCAGCATCGGCACTTGATGCCTAGGAATAAAAGAATTGTAGAATAATAACGTTAAGTAGTAAACTATCTAAAAATACTTTTAGGTGTAACTGGAGACTACATCGACAGTCTGTCAGACAGAATTTAAATTAAAAAGACACAAAAAAGAAGAAAGAAGGGCAGAGAATATTCTTTTCGGTGACTTCCTCCGATCTGGCGCTACAGTCACACATGCATTTAAATTTTGAAGTACAATAATCGTTAACGACAATATTGTAATGCAATACTAAACTGGATATCAGAATAAATTAAGAAAATTTATGCAACAATTAAAGATGGTTAAAACACAAAGATGGTCGAGGTAGAGAAAGAGTATGAACCAACTTCTAAACACACAAGTTAGGCTGCTGCTTCAGGTGGATGCTAACTGTTTCAGGTATATGTAAAAGAAGAAATTGTAAGGCGAGGATGAGATTAGTCAAAATACAGTAGATAATTTAAAAAACCTTGTTGACATTTACTTTGTTTTGAATATCTACAAAATGGGCTATAACAAAGCTGCGAATAAACGTTGTCTGTCTCTTGTTTGACGATGAAGCATGACGTTCAGAAATCTGACGATGAAAATGCAACAGAAAAATTGTTTCGGAAATCATTTCAAATTTTGAGATTGCATCTACTGGACTGCCAAATTTTCATTTTTTTTCTTTCTTTCTCTTGATGACTATTTCTTGTGTCGGTCGAATAAGTAAAAGAGACTTCGCGGATAACGTAAACGCACTACAACCATCACTACACCATCAACACCAAATAACGCTGTCGACAAACCTATGTAGGTCCAAGTATCAGAAGCTATATGCAACCACCATACCTTCTACTGTAAGTTTTGTCACTCATAGCTCGTCCGTCAACCTACTATACACTTCCAGTCTCTACGCCTACAGTAATGGACAAAATCCGAAACTGTACTGGGTGAGATGAATGATATCCAAAATGGGAGCAGATAACACACAGAGGAAGGAATTTCATCTTTGGACGCGAGGCTAACGGTCAAATGAATAAGAACGACGATTTCTTCACAGACCTCTGCACTTTTCATGACTTATTGAATAGAGGCAGATTGCATACGTACAAGAAAACAGTTTTCATCAAATGGACGCACCAAAAATCAGATATACTTCATCTCATTGGTGCTAGAAAAAGTGGCGACACAAATCCAGAAGAGCAGATGCGAGCTCAGACTATCATATATAGTGTAAGAAATCCCCAAAGTCAAGTCAAAAGCCTTTAAAGAAGTTGAAGATAAACCACAATTAATGTTTAACGTTCAGAAACTGAAGGATGAAACCACAAGAAATACATCCGCTACAGTTAGAAATATTATGTAATATCACCAAGAAAATCTTTGTGCAATAGCACTACAACTCTCCGAATGCGGTACTGAGGGAAGCATCTTACGAAGAAACAAAACAACTAATGGCTCTCTACGGACACCTGGAAGTTAATTGACGAATAAGAGATGGAGAAACAGAAGACGATAGACAACGAAAGAAGATGAGTTCAATGCATAACTCAATGAATAAAGATGTGAAGAAGAGTGCTAGGAAAGATAAAATACACTGCTACAACACAACGCTAACTGACGAACACGCTGCAGGTAAGCGAACTCAGAACACGGAGTCCGTGAGGTACCTATAATTCGCTCGTTTGGAAATGCACGTTTCCAATACCCGTCAGTCTTTTGGAAATCACCAGTATAGGTTAGAAAAGAATTACTATGAGATTATCACACGTTTATCTACCTGATTCGTGTGATAGTTCAGTACACACAAAAACATAGTTTCATATTTCTCAAAACTTTCTCGGAACAACACTCAACAAATGAACAAATGGAAAGAACATTCTATCTGTGAATTAACTTACATCACTGTGATGAGAAGAATCATCCTCCTCCTCCTCATCTTCTTCTTCATCTTCTCCTTCTATGAGCTGGTCACCATCACCGTAAACATCTTGATCTGCATCTTCATCTTCAGTTTCATTTTCGTCATCATCGTCTTCATGATCGTCACCATCATCACCGTCATCTTGTTCATCGTATTCATCATAATCTGAAGCCTGACCATCAGAAGCATCTTCAGCATGAAAAGCATTAGACTGTTCAGCAACTGAATAATCATCATTTTGCTGTTCATTGATTATACAACCAGGTTCACCTGTCAAGGAACCCTCTTGTATAGTAAGTGATGACTCATAAAGATCCATTTCAGAGTTAAGAAGTTGACTAAATCCTATTTCTTCATGCTGCTGATCAGAGACTTCATTATCACGATGGGGCTAAACAACAAGATACACATAATGGAAAATAGTTATATAGAAGAAGAGAAGTCACTTCTACGTATCTAAGTAAAAAAACGCCTCTTAGGTCGTAAAAATCAACACTTTTATCATACAAGAAACACTTTAACCCATTACATAAGACGCTAAACAGAACTACACAGAAAACAACCAATTAAATGTAATAAATGATTTCACAGAAAGTTGACGCAAGCAGCAAAAAATAGTGTGTAAGAAGTATCCTGTTTGCGATTCTCTTAGAGATGTTATTATTATCAAAACACAAACATGACACATTGTAAGGAGCAACATGAGATGCACTACACAAAATCTCCTAGTTTGTGTGAGGGCTGGGATATTTGGCCAGATGCCCAGACCGAAGCAGGCGATTGTCTTAAGGAGTCGCCTTCAGGTCTTTGACCTGGAGTCTGATCTACAAGACAATAGAGCTGAGTCAGGACTGCCTGTGACTAAAACAGACTTATAAGCCATTCGATTCTTTCGGATTCTGGAGTCAGTGTACACCACACATTCGGAATCAGAGTTTTGCAGCTCCCCCTTAGGTAGACCTATATGTGTCCACCAGTTCAGTTGTAAGTACTAGATAGATGTTCGCACTCACCTTTTCGCCTTTGTGTTCACTGAGGATATAGAATGGATTCTAAGAGAAGTGAAAATAAGGATAAAGAAGCAGTTATGCCATACTAAGCAATATGAAAATCTGTTGCTAGTTTGAAAAAACTATTAGCAGTATATTTTAATCAAGAAAACACTGAGTAAAAGTGCTATATTACTATGTATCATATTAGCTAATAAACCGATCTAACTTAAGGGGAATATTAAAACAGGATTTCAACTCAACACATATTACACACAAACACTGAAATAATAGTCTACTGAATAAAGAAAAATCTTTATCACAACGATACAACTAACCAATTGAGACGACATCATATTGTTAGTGAAATTAGTTGCTGAATTCATTTCTACATTTAAACTCGTTGACAACTCAGACCCAATATCCAAATCAGTGGTGCTGCCTAGTGTAACAGCTGTACTACTCGTTTGACTGACTCCACCATCAGTTTCTAGAATAGACAAAGGCAGTTCATCTTGAGCTGATGGTGACAATGAATAAGCTGTTTGTGGACCAAGCTCAATATTATCATCCTTGGACTCTGGAGAAACAACACCTGGTTCCATGGTTCTTCGGCGTTTCGCTATATGGCAATCACTAGATTCACTTAATCGACGATTAGAACAGCTAGGAAAATTAGCATCACTATCAGATACATCATTTACAATATCACGCTCCGATAACAAAGGGAAAATATCAGAATGATATGGTGATTCCTGACGTCTTGAATAGGACCATGCTTCTAACTCTGCATCCCCAGTATGAGAAACGTTTGTAACTTCCGGTCTATTTGAAGTGGTTTCTGAGTTAATAATCTGAACATTAGAAGGTTCATATGCTGGTGATGAGTGAGACTCTTCAGAAGTTTCGGAGGCTTGGATTTGATGAGTTCCTGAGCAGCCATCGTTACGGAGAGTAGATGTACCAACAATATTCAAGTAACTGCTGCTAGCGGTAACTGAACCAGTTGATGCGGTAGGATGGAAAGATGTGTTAGTTTCTTCCGATCTGACAACAGAGTCAAAGTTATCCGCAGTCGGATTCATAACCTTTAAAATATAATAAGATAAACATTTTCAATGAGGAGAAATAAGAAGAAATTGTGGTTGAACTTTTAAGTGAGACCAGAAATTTAGCACAAAATGAAATTGAACCCTTAAAAATAAATAATATTTCTATAATTTTATTTGGTCTTGACTAGTATCAAAATCAATGAAATGAGATGTATCCAGTTCTATTTAAATGAAATTCGTCAATCAGATACACACGATTATTTTCGAACGGGACTAAAAATCCAACGGTCTTATCGTCTTATTTATTAGACTACTTCATCAGTCCTTGTACAATCACGTAACATTTGCGATCACTTATTTGGACTATTTTCTTTTTCATTTGAATAACCTGATTACTGTATCTTAATTTAGTTACCACTATTGTTATACAAGCTGTCATCTGAACTGATGACGACCAGTGGTGTCCGTCAAGGATGCCCATTATCCCCTTTTCTATTCAACTTCATCATAGATGTGTTAATGGACTTAACCCTAGGTGACTTCAGCGACTCAGGGATTGACTTGCTACCAGGGAATAATCTCGTTGACTTGGAATATGCAGACGATATAGTCCTTCTAGGCGAAGACGCTGACGAAATGCAGAGTCTTCTAAACACCTTGAGCCGCAATCTACGAATGTTTGGCATGCGATTCGCTCCCGTCAAATGCAAGATGATGTTACAGGACTGGACTACAGCGACGCCTAGTTTAAAAATAGGAAGTGAAGTGGTAGAGCACGTTGACCGCTTCACTTATTTGGGAAGTACCATCAGCCAGAGCCGACGGGTTGATCTCTGACGAAATCTCAGCACGAATACAAGGGGCTCGTTTCGCATTTGTTAGTTTACGCCGTCTCTGGCGTAATATCTGGCGTGATATCCGACTATCGACCAAATGGTGGGTGTACTGCTCATCAGTCCGCTCTGTCCGCCTTTATGGCTGTGAGACCTGGCCACTGAGAGTGGAAGACATGAAAAGACTAGCTGTCTTTGACCATAGGTGCCTGTGTTCTATCTCCCGTGTGAAGTGGCATAATAAGGTGAGCAGTATTGAGGTTAGGCATCGAGTACTAGGTAAACAGGGGAAATCAATCGACGAAGTCGTGAAGCTACAAAGACTGAGATGGTTAGGTCATGTGTTACGCATGCCTAGCCTAGTCATCGCCTTCCTCGACCTACGAGCAATGTTAGCGGATATAGGGTCAGGCTGGAAAAAAGCTAGCGGCGGTCAAACAAAAACTTGGCACCAGTCAATGAAAACCACAACAGTTGGTCTAAGCCACGTAGAAAGGTTTAGACTTCCAGGCTGGGGTCCTCGGGACGGTAAAAATCTATGGTTGGAAACAATTGGTGACATGGCTCAAAACCGTTCTCAGTGGCGCAGATGCATCCACTCCCTGTGACTTATGATCTTCAATGAAACTGTTTTGTATTTCTTTATTACTCCTTTGTCTCACACCTCTGCTCACTGTTTCTATTATGCTTTTCTTGTACTTTCTTCTCTTGCTTTGTGTGCTACAAGGAGGGAGTGTGGCGACTTGAACTTCCGCACATTTGTGCAAAGTTCTATGTCGAAAACAGACAGACAGACAGATTGTTATACATTCTTACTTATAAAGACTAACTGGTTTCAACATGGAACTTTGCACAGACGTGCAGCAACTTGAATTGCCACACTCCGTGTAACACACAAAGCAAGAGAAGATAGTAAAGGGAAGTTCAAAAGACAAATAATACACAGAAGTATGAAGGGAAAAATAGTAATATGAAAAAACAATAGTTTTATGAGACATGATAAATCAAAAAGAGTGAACGCAACTGCACCAGCCATTGGTTTTTATCACCCCGAGGATCTCAACAAAGAAGTCTTTGCCACGTGACGTGGCTTAAACTAACCGCCAAAGATTTCATTGGCTGATCCCATGTTTTGGTCTGGCCACCACTAGATCGCTAAGTTTCCCCCGTCGAGGAAGGCAATGTGACTAGACATGCGTAACACATTTCCTAGCCGTATCAACTGATGTAACTTCACAACCTCGTCGATTGATTTCTCCTCCTTACATAGCACTCGACGTCTAACTTCAACATTGCTCGGCCTACTATATCACCTAACATAGGAGACAGAACGCCGACACCTATGATCAAAAACAGCTTTACTTATAAGCTAAACTACTGATCAGTAATTCAAACTTGCAATTTACACAGCTCCATGTGAAATTTTACCACAGTGCTTTTTGAAAATCGAATTTATTCATATCCCAATATGGGTGTCTACTTGATATCGTAAATCATAATCAAGTAATCAAGTATATTTGGATGGGACTATATACTATTAATTGACTATGTTGAATAATCGTATATCATTTACATTACCCAATAGTGTTTCCTAACTAGACCGAAGTGATTTTAACACTATTTCGCTCGTTTGGGATCGAGCTCATTAGCGGTGCATCAGGTTTAACTCAACTCGGAGCCCCGAATCACTTTCGACCACCTGATTTATCGCTAGGTACTTGCTTGAACAAGTAATACCAAAGATGGAATTTGCAATTCTCAAGTTAATTGTTCATTTATTAGGCTTGTAAATGACACCCAACCATCTTGAACCTGTTATTTGTCACCCTTTTTCTGACTGTATTTCACGATCTGTCTAGGTGGCACCGTTTTAACTACAGGCGAACCGGAGGATGTCGAAACCAGAGCTGGAATGGCAAATCAGATCTTCGTCACTTTGAAAGTAGTTCGGAAATCCACTGTACTCAACATAAACAAAAAAATCTATATTTTCACCGTGAATGTTAAGTCAGTTCTTCGAGCGGAATTTGAATGGGAAACGACGGGTAGGCCATCCAAGGGTGACATGGAGGAGATGAGAGACTATAGGCAATCGTTGGGTCAACTACGAAAAACGGCAGAGAATAGGACAAAGTGCAGATGTGCTGTTGACGCCCTGTGTTTCACTCGGGGTTGAAAGGAATACTTATATTAGTACAGTAGTCTATTAATGAGTAATACGGAAAATGTGAAGTAACTGATAGAGCTATTAGAGAGTGAATTCTAAAAGTAAGGGAGTACTATGTAATAATCAACGACACTATGGAAAAGCTTGAAATTTGAAATGGAAAAAATGTTATTGGATAAGTAGCAGGGTGGCTGAGTGTCTACTTAGCAATTATAAAGTTGAGAAAACTAATTAGTAAGATGAACAAAAAGGACATATCAGAGTGACTACTTACTGAAAATAGAAACGGAGAAATAAGAAAGTATTTAAGGCCATGAAAGAACAAACTATTTTGGGTTGCTTTGACAAATCGCTAGCGCCTCTGTACTACACAAGTGTCGAGACCTAACATACTTTTTCTACGATTTAGCCTTTGTAAATAATTTTAAAAACGGACTTCCGTGGAGGTCCATGCTCTGAATTCACCAGATGCTTGAGAGTTGAACTAGTAATTCTCTTCTCAGAAACCATAATGGACAGTGTTCTGAGTCACATTTTGAAAATAACAATATCTACAAAGAGTAGACGAGTTTACAAACCCATATTGAAGTGACCCAAACCCGGTTATTCATTCCTTGCAAGTCGTCTGCTGACCATTTATCAACTGAAGAAACTAGACAGTTACTTAGCTGAATATATACAATCGTACAGACTTTGAAAATGACTTCGTCGATGGAGAAAATTCTCTTCGCTGAAACATCTTTTATTTTCTTTAGTGGATCCAAGTCAAACTCGTCCTTCTTTAAGTGCACCATTTTACGTAATTATTTATTTGTCAAAATTTCCTAATTTTACGGTCACTATAAAGTGTACATTCGCTAGACTATATCACATTCCAGAGTTCCACTTTCCACTATTTAACTATTTTTACCAGAAACTCCCAAATTGTAATTTTTGAAAGTGAGTGGAACTTAAGTACTTCTTAAGTTCCTTTATTTATCTATTAGTTAATAAAATTCACTATAGTGAATGGAGATATTTTATTGAGGACAGTTTTATTTCAGGACAGACTGGACTAAAAATGGCTAAAAACACATTTGAAATTAATCGAATATGTGAATGGGAATAAAAACAACTCAATACAACTAATAACTTTCGCATAAATAAAAACAAACAAAAAACACAAACCGTTTCAACATGTTCTGGAGCACTCGTTTCAATATCAGTGATAGTAGATTGCATTTGAAGAGTCAATAATGATGGATCATGTATTGACGATGTGGCAGTATTCGGTGATACCGCTTCAATGTTCGATTCAGCTTGCGTATATTTGACAGTGTCAGAATCTGATGTATCCGAAATGGTGACATGAGGTGGTGACGACAATTGGACATGTAATGTAGATACAACGTTATGGTGACGCCTAGATGATACAGTACCACGTTCTGTTGTAGCATTATGGTAAGCAGTTTGTTCAGTGAAGTTCGAGTGATGGTGCTGTAATCAAAATGCAAAACAGCATTTCTTTAAAATAGGAGTTTTGAACAATAAGAATATAAATATACAGTGCTTTGTATCACAGCAAATACTTTGAAAGATTTCCTTGTTATTTGAATTTGACAAAATATACCATCAACAAAGAATCAGTTTCTAATCCTAAAAGTGTCCAATAATCTAAACAACTTCAGTATTCTCTATGCTGTTTTTAATATGATAGAATTACTTTATATTTATATTTTTGACGTCCAACAATGTATTCTTTCAAAACGACATAATCGAATATTGTTCAACAGGTTTAACATAATTAAAGACCTTAATAATTTGAAGTTTTGTAATCACATGTATTGTAGAATATTTTTTGAACTGTAGGAAGAACATAAACGGATTATACCTGATAAACTATAGTAAATTATAACAATAGCTAATCCGAAGATTGCCACTTATGAGACACAGAGAGAGAGAGAGACAGAGAAGTAACAAAATATCATCTTAAAGCAAACGATTAAACGAGATAACGTTTACCCTATATCCATCATCGATGCTCTGTATTCCTCTGCTCGGTAGATCATCAGATTTTGTAGATTCACTAGAAGAGAGCAACTGTTGGCGCGTTAAATAATTTCTTTCAGCATTAATTAACGATTCAAGTCCCTTAGAAATAAAGAAAATGATTTTATCATTAAATGTGTCATCGTGTGTTTTTTTAAAGTAAAATGAAAACAAACAAACTCTTGAAATTTAATCTGATGCTCGCCGCTAGTGACTGCTGGCTAAAAGGGCGAAGTTGGCTGCAGTTCATGTGAGAAGTCATGATCAGTAGAGTCCCTGCCGTCGAGAGTGAGGACAAATACACGCCGATCCCATTGGCTATTGCCAGTTGCGCTAACATCACGAATTGGCAGAAGTTAGAATTCACGGGCTGATCATTGATTCGGATCAGTAACGTCCTGGGTTCAAAAATCCACTATGTGTACTAATGAAGAGTCCAAAACCAGGACGAAACGGTTGTCTAGTACTCCATTACTGTTTTTCAGTGGTCCTCTAACTGATATCAATTCGTGATGAAACTTGAAACAAATTAGATCCCTACAAACAAACTCTTGAAAACTAAATTGTTGAATACCTTTTTGTAAGATCAGAGAAGAAAAATATGTATTGTAATACACAAATCAAGTCTACCAAGAAAATAATATAAACATATGTGTATATATTCTAAGTTGATGAAATGTAAACAGATCTCACTGTTGTTAAGGTGAATAGCTAAAGTTATAAAAATTATTCAAGAATATACAGCTGATACTTCAAATTTACCGAGGTGATTTCACTTGATTGAGATGTATGCGAAAAGGATGCACAGGGTCGTACAGTACCCATACGAATAGGAACAAGAAGACTAGCAGCAAGCATAGGCAATTCATTTAAAGCAATGGAAGGGAGGACAGTGAATATTCGTCGACAGTTATCCAAAATTGTTGTTTGAGCCCAACCCAAACGACTAAAACGTTAAGCATAAAATTTAGACAACATAAGAAAGAACATCAGAATAGGTATGCAGCATACTCAGATATTATTTGTTTAAATGAAAAAAATATGATAAATTAAATTCAGGAAAATGAAAAGCAACCAACATGTAACTTGCCTTTTCTTCTTTTGGTCTGGAGCCAATTCTAAACATAAACTTGCATAGACACGAGCCACGGAACGAACAAATCGAGCAGCTGCTTTTTTCATATCCACGGAAGTAAGATATTCCCCATGTATGAAGCCAGATTTACACAGCTTAGTGGATGTGGGAAAAACGCTTGCATCGTTCGATATCTCTTCCAAACTTGAAGGAAACTCTCGCATACCTTTGTTCAATGTAGCCAGGATAATATCAGTCTTATCAGTAGGGCACTTACAAATAAGTGTGAACACGAAATCATCTAGTTGATTTGTCCCTCCTTGAGATGACAGAAATACCTTAGAAAGGAAACGATAAGATAGAGAATTAAAACAATAAAGCTTAAATTCATATTTTAAAGCAAAATATGTAAAAGAACAAATCTGTGAACTTGAATGAACTGTCGTCAAGATTTGATAGAGTAGTTACAAAATATTTGGGCGCCAAGTAATTGGACAAAGTTTTTGAAAAGAAGAGGTGTTCCTCGTATATATAAACCTCTGTTATGTTAAATTCGATTAATTTTCCTGAAGAATTTCGGGTCAGATTGCCGAAAGAGACGTTGGAATTACTCATTTCAATCTCGTTGATATTTTGCAAATATATTTTTTTTACAAATCTGTGAATTATATCGAATAATAAAATAGAAGACTGTGTGTATTTCACTTAATCAGAATTACAAAATAAAAGTCGTGAATATGCGTCATGAGAACTCTTACCTGGTCTTCATTAATAAATCCAGGTTTACGCTCAGCAGATGTGTTACTTAGAATATCTGGATTATTATCTGACATCAACATGCTATACACAGCAGTAGGACAGTCAAGAGCCAGTTCCAAAGCATCACGACAAAAACGAGGAGGCTCCAAATCATGATCAGGTTCTTCTGTCCCACCATTTTGAACTGCATTGTTTGATTCCCAGTTCGATGTTGTATTTGATGCAGAAGTAACTGGTGGATTGCCAGTAGAATTAGTTCGACTTGTAGTAGAAGTTAAACGACGCCTGGATGGACGATGTTGACGTTGTTCCCGCGCTTGACGGTCTACACATTTAGCTAAGTAAAGCAGCAAATGTTCTCCACGACCATTTCGCTGATATACTAACTTAGTTTCGAACAATAGTCGATAAAATAACTCATGACGTGAAGCTTGAAATCCAGAAATAAGACTTTGACAACAACACTTTTCCCAACAATCACAATAAGCTGTTGGAGAAGTTCTTTTTAAGCGACAGTCATGACCCTTATGACATACACGTGCACACTCTGTACAACAGCACAGAGAATCCATCAGACCACAAGTACGACACTCGAAGATATCCTAATTAAATGTAAAGTTTTGAAGTAAAAGCAAATAAGGGATAATTAAGACAGAATTAATAATACTATGTACTAATAGATTAAGTGGAACATGAAAACCACGAAACATGACATTAAGCAAAATGACTATCCGATAAACAAATTAGGAACATCGAACAAACTTATGCGGCACTGGTATTTATTTCACCTCAAAGAGTTCGATTATTACAATTTCCGATAATCAATACTCGAAACAATCACAAAGGATAACAGATAAGTTTCAATTTCATTAAGCCTCAAAACACAATATTTAGTTTTTTAAGCCAACTGAAGTGCTACACACATATCCACTCATTTTTAATCAACAATCAAGAATAAATAGTGAAGGCATAGAACAAAGCTGAACCATACAATAAAATATTGTTTATAACAAGTAAGAATAGACAATAAATAATGATCTCTAAGAAATAACATGTTAGATGAAGATTAAAAATGACGGACAAAAAACATCTGTCTGTCTGCCTGTTTTCCACATAGAACTTTGCACATATGTGCGGCAGTTCAAGTCGCCACACTCCCTCCTTGTAGCACACAAAGCAAGAGAAGAAAGTACAAGAAAAGCATAATAAAGACAGTAAACAGAGGTGAGACAAAGGAAGAGTAATAATGAAGAACAATATAGTTTCATTGGAAATCATAAGTCACAAAGAGTGGATGCATCTGCGCCATTGAGAACGATTTTGAGCCATGTCATCCATTGTTTTCAGCCATTGGTTTTTACCGTCCCGAGGACCCCAACCAGGAAGTCTACACCTTCCTACATGGCTTAGACTAACTGTTGTGGGTTTTAATGACTGGAGCCATGTTTTTGTTTGACTTCCGCTAGCTACTTTCCAGTCTGACCCTATATCCGCTAACATTGCTCGTAGGTCGAGGAAGGCGATGACTAGGCTAGGCATGCGTAACACATGCCCTAACCATCTCAGTCTTTGTAGCTTCACGACTTCGTCGATTGATTTCCCCTGTTTACCTAGTACTCGATGCCTAACCTCAATACTGCTCACCTTATTATGCCACTTCACACGGGAGATAGAACACAGGCACCTATGGTCAAAGACAGCTAGTCTTTTCATGTCTTCCACTCTCAGTGGCCAGGTCTCACAGCCATAAAGGCGGACAGAGCGGACTGATGAGCAGTACACCCACCATTTGGTCGATAGTCGGATATCACGCCAGATATTACGCCAGAGACGGCGTAAACTAACAAATGCGAAACGAGCCCCTTGTATCCGTGCTGAGATTTCGTCAGAGATCAACCCGTCGGCTCTGGCTGATGGTACTTCCCAAATAAGTGAAGCGGTCAACGTGCTCTACCACTTCACTTCCTATTTTTAAACTAGGCGTCGCTGTAGTCCAGTCCTGTAACATCATCTTGCATTTGACGGGAGCGAATCGCATGCCAAACATTCGTGGGTTGCAGCTCAAGGTGTTTAGAAGACTCTGAATTGTATTCAGCGTCCTCGCCTAGTAGGACTATATCGTCTGCATATTCTAAGTCAACGAGATTATTCCCTGGTAGCAAGTCAATCCCTGAGTCGCTGAAGTCACTAGGGTTAAGTCCATTAACACATCTATGATGAAGTTGAATAGAAAAGGGAAGGCATCCTTGACGGACACCACTGGTCGTCATCAGTCGCTGAGTCACTGAAGTCACTTAGGGTTAAGTCCATTAGTACACCTATGATGAAGTTGAATAGAAAACAAGAAACATCCGTATCATTTAGTTTTACCATCACAATCAGCATTCCTAGAAAGCTTTCTAGCGTCAAATGAAGCAAACTGAAGTAGTAACTAGTTCATCTATAAATAATTAAACGCATTAATGTAGCTAAAATTCCGTATGTCGGCATTTACTCTCAATGTCAAAAAAACACAACTCATATGACAACTAAAATGAGAAAGGAAACCTAGAAGTCAATTAGAACTTAGCTGGCCGGTTATAAATAAGTCACATATTGTGTGAAGGTTAATGATACGGCCAATCGAGAAATCAATGGCTGTAGAGTTCATGTTGTGGACATGAAATAACCACATTTGAAAAACTTGTTTAACCTTAAGTTAATTGCTAACCAATCACTACGATTTATTCTTCTCTGAACTAGCCGTATTTTAATGTATGTGACTAAGAATGTCGCAATATGGATTTTTCCTTTAGTAAAGCTTCGTTACTAAGTCTCTTAACTTCTGTGCCGTTACACCATTACTTCAAAAAGGGTTAACAAGCGAATGAATGAAAATTGTGAAAATGCACTCACCTGTCTAATATGATCCGGACCAGTCCATGTGAAACTGCAAGTGTCATTATAACAAAGTTGAAATAGTGGAGAATCGTCTGGTTTGTGACTAGAAGGGCAAAAGAAGTCTAACACAGAATAATCAGGAACTTCAACCACAGGTGGTTTTGGAATACATGCAAAACCTGCATCGTCACACACTCCTACAATACGCTAAAAATACAAAGTTTAAGAAAAAATAGGCTGAAGTAGCTGTAATTCCAAGTCAATTAATCAAAAAACAAACTAAACAATAAATAATAAGGAAGATAAGAATGTAACCTCTTCGAGTGCTTCCTAAACTCCGATAATTGAAAAAGGTCAAAAAGGCGGAGATAATCAAATAATTTCCAAACAAACACGATAGATTGTACTTATCACGAGTAACTAACTAGTGATAACGATAAGTCTCATCTTTATTATGCAGAATTCACTGACATATGGATGTGTCTTGAAAGAAAACAAAACGAAAATTGAAATTTCGAAGTCAACCGGCTAGCAGAAACATGAATAAAAATCAAATTTGAAAACAAATGTAGCCTGGTTGAAATAAATTCATCTTCATCATAACTGACATCGACATTAAGATAATCAATTAGTGTACATGCTATTGTATCACTGTTGAAAAGGCAATGGATACATCCTGAGACCTTTATATGTACATTAGCTTACAATTAAAGTAAATATCTCAAGAAATGAATTAATATTTTAGACAAATATATTTTTCTTTCAAACAGAAAACATTTATAGCCATGTCAAATGACTGCAATCTAGGCATGTGAATATGAAATGTGACTGAAAAAAATAGACTGGATTATGCGGGAGACCCTGGCTAGCGAGAATATAGGCATGCGCTGAGCAGGTAAGGCAACGCTAGAAGATTCGAACTTCGTGGACGATTTATATCTGGCGTCAAACAAATTAGAACACCAACAAATCATCAGGAGAAGCTGGAAGCATTTCAAACAACCTGCAGACTTTCATCTACAGCTGCCTTCGCTTCATATTGAAGATCAGAGGGCCAGAAAAGATTGTCAACAAGGAACTCTATCAGCTGGCGAATCAACCAAGAAACCTCCTCATACTATCACCATGTCACCCCCGGACACCCAACTCGTTTGGCATACGGTTGCTACTCAAGCAACTGCCTGGTGCGCTATGTTACCCAATGGTCTCCTTAGTGTGTCCGATCCATCGATCCATCCATCGTCGAAATATTTGTTGGGCAATAAGTTCTGGATTGGTTCATTCCCTTACTTTCTGGTTGCTGATTCTTTCTACACATCTGATCTCCATTATGCAGCTAAGGCAGCTGTTGATAAAGGTCTTAAACCTGTTGGAAATACTTTCTCTGATGCACCAAGTCTCTCATTCATACAGAAGAACTGGCTTAACACTGGTATTGAATATCCGAATCTTGTTCTCTATGCTGAGGTCAAAAGGTTTCCGAACTGATTTCAGTGTGATGAAAGTCTGTCTTGCCTTTCTGATTCTGGTTTTGACATCCTCATCTATACTATCGCCTGTAATTGAAACTGCCTAGATAAGTGAAGGAAGTGACCTCTTTTCAATTTCCTCCGTTGATAGTGTGATTGGTGCTTGTTGTTGTTGTTGATTAGTTATCTTCATCATCTCCGTTTTCTCTTAAATTTACTTGAAGTCATGTCTTTGCAGCTTCTTCTGACAGACATAATTTCTTAAAGTCATTTTTTCTCATAAAAATTACCAATGGGATATTAAAAGTGCTGCATGAATCGAGAATAAAAAAAAGGAGATCCAGTCGAGTGATACATACGCCCATTCTATTCACATGCAAATATCAGCGAAAGGTCCTTTCGCTGTTATATAGTTAGATAAAGACTTATTGTGTTGTCACTGAAATAATATAACACAGTATATAGATGCTGAGACCTTTAATTAAGAGAGACAAGTTAAAATTATACTTACGAGAACTATTTCGTACAAATAACGAGCAACACTATATGCCCGAAGTTTAACCGCCAACATTAACGGGGTCAAATCATCTGTATTACGAGCTGTCAGAAGTGGGATTAAACTAGGTAACAAATGTCGACTTTCGATTAAAAGATGAACAATTCGATATGAAGCAACCCTTCGTGTAATTTCATCTTTTCTCACTGGAGGAAAGTGCCAAAAGTTTACCCCATTGGCAGATGACAGAGTTGTGTTAGTAGCAGTACTAGTGCGCACTTCAGAATCAGAACGTGAAGACGAGTTGGACAATGCTGCTGCAGCTGCCACAGTAGCGGCTTCAATTGAAGATCGAATAAATAATTCATGCATACTTAAGGATCCTGTCATACTTGATGATCGTCGAGCCAAAGAAGACCTGTGTACGAAAAAAGATTTGAATTATATGCATGTATATATGATTCACATTTTCAATTCTATTATTTATTTCCTTTCACAACACTGAAGGAATATTCCTAACACTACATACCCCAGTATATGAAAGATTAATTTCGGGTAACTGAGCTCGAACTATTCGTAACATTATAAAGGCGTAGGTATTTGAACGAATTTAATAAATATACCACGTGACTAACATGATTAATCAGCACACGATGGAAAACAATAAACAGAATCAGTAAATATCACTTGACGCTTTCAAATAGCATGCCTGCAAATAATAATAATAATAGACAAACTGAGTTCAGACATACAACTTTGAGTGGAATTCAGTCCTTTGGTCATTTAAAGCTCAAATCATAGGAACGGGATATAAAACACGGATCTACAAACTAAAACATATTTTCAAGTTTGTTCGTAGGCATTTGATTTGTTCAAGTTTGATTAAGGATTGGTGTCAATTAGAGAACCATTAAAAACCACTAATGGAGTACTGGACAACCATTTTGTCTTAGTTTGTGATTCATCGACAGTGCTCACCCAGTGGCGTTCGAACACAGGACCCTAGGGTTACAAGGCAAGTTCGTGGACAGAATATATATATATATATATATTCAAGAGATGAATTAACACTTACCGACATATAAGGAATTTTAACTTGAACTTAATCTCTCATGAATTCAATTTCCAATACCTAAGCTTGAACAGCCGGGTGGTAAAACTATGATCCAGAAATCTAACGCTAGTAAACGATGGATTTCATTGAACTTAACATATTGTGGAGTATTAAGGAAACACAAGACACTCAAATAATCATGAATGTGTTTACAATTTATACAATCAAGACACTGCATAGGATCACATTACAGAAAGAAGTGAATCATCTGGAAAATTTACACACAGAACCGTGCTCAAGCTCAAGCGAAACCATGACAAGGAATACGAATTTCATTTTTGGGCAAAAGATAACAAAACCATATCCCTTATAGAATCTTCCTTACATCTAGTGTTCGTATTAGCACTGACGCTTACTGTTTTAAAAAGTGGCATATCGATGAGGAGTAATGTGATCAATTTGGTAACTAAATAAAGACTGATTAGCCATTGTGAAACAATTTCACTAATCTAGAAATGTTTGAATAGTGGTCAATGGATTCAAGCAGATAACTATAAATTACTTTCTTACATCTGAATGACAATAAAATGAGAAAGTTTTATTTTATTTCACAACCTGAAAACAATAGGGTGAGAAAATATATAATTTTTCAACAAGCAAAACAAGTGATATGCATTAATATTGTATAAATATAATTAGTTATCACTAACCAAAATGAAGGCTGATGACTGGAATTATTTGAAGCAGTTACTTTAATTACAGGAGTATCCTTAGATTCAGATCCCTTGTCAGATTTGTCCTTATCTTCAACTGGAGGAGGACGTAAACGAGGAGAGGCAAGAACAGGTTCAAGCTTTGATAACCATTCTGGAGTTGTTTCTCGATTCGACTGCGGTGCACACATCGACACAGCCATATGCAGTAGATTACGTCGCCCGTCTGCAAGTTCACAAGCTAGTTTAAGACTTTCGCCTGAAGATAAGTCAGTAGCCAACTGTTCAAAGATAAAATCATACAGAAATAAATGTAAATATTTTCTTACACTAAACATCAAACATTTCTAATACTGTCAGTCAACTAAGGAAAAATAAATTCTACAAGTTCCGATATGCACTTATTTCTATTTGCAGTGGAAGGTCATATTGGAGGTGTGCAGAGGAAGACGTAGAATCAGAGGGAAGTACTGCCTGTGTTTTCATGAGAAAATGAATGAAAAGTCATCGTAGATAATATTTATGACTGAAATTCACTTACACCTCGGAATAAGAAATAAGACTTACTTTTTTACGCTTTATTTTTCTCATTTTCACCTGACACTTAAACTACGGAAAAAATAGTTCACACAAGTTTGTAAACATTAGGCAGTGAACACCAATAGCTTCGTGTTTTGCCTATAGGTAGAGGAGAATGTTATTAATAGTTTTCTTGAATAGTATAGCGATAGCCCCTATTGCAAATTACTAGTCATAAAATTCTCAGTTTATGAAGTTAAGAAATTCCATATTAGTTTGTTTATTGACAATTGATATGATTATGAACAATAAATTGTGTTTGAAACGTCATCCAGTATACAATGCTGTTTCACTGTGTGATACATCTAATAAACAAACTAATATGGAATTACTTACTACCACAGTGCCCAAGTTTTACACATATAGAAGTTAAGAAATGTTACTACTCTAACTTATTTAGCCAATAAATGCAATCCACTAATCTAATTGACTGATTTCAACATAGAACTTTTCACAGAAGTACACCAACTGACGTTGCCACACTCCTTATAGCACACAAAAGAAAACAAAAGGGGAAAAAGAATATTCAAAAGAACTATTGTAAGCAGGAATGTGGGGGAGAAAGAATAGTAATATGGAAAAACGAGAGTTTAATGGACATGACTGATCACAAAGAGTGGATGCATCTGAGCCATTAAGAACGATTTTAAGCCATTTTTTCCAGTCATTGATTCCTAGTATTCCAATGACACTAACCAGGCAGTGTGCATTTCCTAACGTGACTAAAACTAACTGTCAAAGATTTAATGGACTTATCCCATGTTTTGTTTCGACCACCACTAGCCATTCTCTAACCCTAACGATCCTATGTCAGTTAGCAATGACCATCGAGGAAGGCGATGGCTAGGTATGCGTAACACATCTCCTAACTATCTCAATCGACATACCTTCACAACCCCATCGATTAAATTTCCCTCCTTATCTAACACTCGATGCACCACTTCAATATTAATCACACTAAGTATACTAACTAACAGGAGATAGAACGTAAATACGTATGATCAAAGAAATCTAGGCGTTTCATTATTTCCACTAATCCACTTCGAAGCGACACAGTCGAATTACAACAGGCATTAGAAGCATTAGAGTACGAATGCCGGAATATAATACCATAATATGCGGTGAGATTTTAATTCTGTTGTGACCCTAGCAATGACTTGGTTTTAATAATCATCCCTGTACAACAAGATCACGTCTCAAAGTCAAGATTTTCCTAATTGCTACAATCAACGATAAATAGTATAACTGATAGTGAAACAGTTCATTGTGTTTATTACGACAATAAGTAATAACGAGACAAACAAACACGAACACATACCAATCTTTCAATCTGGACATCATTAGCTCGTAGAATGTGTTGCATCAAAGTTTGGTCTTGGATAACCACTAAACCGAAAAGACAACGTGGTTGTTGTTCACTCTGTGATTTTGTTGACTGTCGTCCGTTTGTATTTCCTAAGGCTCCAGAAGACGGCAAATTATTTCTAATCCATGAGAAAGAAGCACACTGAACAGGAGGAAGATCAACTGGAAATGGACTAATCCATGTTTCATGACTACAGATTCTTGAAGGTGGGATGAATGGTAAGACAAGACCACCAGGATCTCGTAACAGCAGTGGATGCTACAAAACAAAGTCAATTGATTATATAATTAAGATTATTTAATAACTACTACCACTTATATGCAGTTGGAAATCAACCGCAACAACTGTGTGAGGGTTAACGAAACTACCTGGCTGCTTTTCCAGCCTTATTAGGTGAAGGGCAGTTCGAACCAGAAATCCGGTAGTTGGAGGTTAAGAGGCCAAACCGGCGAGTTACAACTCCACAACTGACTATATGATCACGTAATGGAATATCCAGTTAAACAACTGGTAATCAAGACAGTCTAGTGAAGGTGTATTAACTGGATGCAAGAATGTAACTGATAGTTCAAATTCAGTACTACAATGTGAAGTTGACGTGTAATGAATTCAAGTTCAATGTATTCGCTTTCGTTGGAAAATTCCTCGTTACTTTTAAAACTAATCAAAAGTAAATTCAGCATAGGGGAGCATAATACTCAAAGGTGTAACCAAACGGTAAAGTGGACAAATGGTGAAGTCAGAAATATTTGATTGAATACCTATCTAGTCGATATTTAGTACAAAGTGAACTAGAAAACAAAGGTAATATAAAGTTGAATGGTATTCGAAAGGACATATAGTACTATTTCATCTCGGAGATTCGGGTGTATTCTACTAATCTCGTGCCAAAAAGGCTTTTATATCGTGTTGACAGTTTATTATCCCTGGGATAAGTTTGAAAAAAATAGAAAGGATAGTCAGCCAATGAAATGGAATTGCGAGATGAAGGATTTTGTGTCGGATTAGCATTTTTTGTTACACATCGATCTCCTGATTGTGTTTTGAAAGAATACATAATGTAAGTGGTCCGAAACATTATTAGGTGTGACTGAGTCGAAATCGGTGGAGATCCTGTTGGAGTTTCCCTGGTTTTCTTTCCCATGTGGATAAAAATACAAACCGTGAACAATCCTCATCTGCTAAGATTTACACAACCGTTATGGTATTGCTTTGATATATTCTCTTCGTATATTTAAATTATTTGTAAGTCTGTCTATGCAAAGCGTTTCTTAGTCTTTATAATGCAACAAGATGTGTTGAAACAAGTCATAAACAGTGCATGCAAATAATAAGTGAGATGGGGGTAAACTCACTTCTGCTGGGCATACTATAGTGGCTGATTCTTCTTTCGATTCTGAGACAGATTTGAAAGCAGAGGCACCATATGGCATTTTTTGATTAATTATAAGCTTCCCTGATAAGTTGTAAACCTGATAAAAAGTAGGCTGATGAGATCCACTTTCTTTTTGGCCTACAATAACATGAATACGGCTGTTCTCTGCTGCAATTGCTAAGATTTTTGGAGGATCAGAAGATAATGTTTTCGAATTCTTGGAGTCACATGAATTACGCTGGCAACACCCACCACTCGGGAAGGTGAACACCCGCCTAGGGGTACGTTGAATCACATCAGGAACACGCACTAATCCTGCATTTCGAACGATGGTCAAGTCCTCTTTGCGAAGTAATCTGCAATCCTACACACAAAATAAGACAAGTTCAATTATAAGGAATTATTTCCGATCAACAGTGTTCACAAGCGCTTTTAGGAATAAATTCAAATTAGGAACGAATATACTTCATGATTATTACTAAGCAAAAAATTGTAAATACGTACTTAATAGGCAGTATCTGAAGTTATGGATGTCACTCACTCTAACTTCTGAATAGCAATAATACAGATAAATTTGTGAAAATTTTTAACAAGTGGAGAAAATGATGGAAGCTTTTACTAATAAGTTAATAAATTTTTTGAAAGCCACTTTATTAGCTTTTGTGCTTAATGTGCAGGAATCTTTTTCCATTAAATCGACTCTGTCAGGAAACGACCCTATATATATGAGTGAAGAGAATCAATACAGTCTGACAAGTATAAGAGTGAAACAGAATGGGTAATGGTAGAAAGGTATATATATATATATATATATATATATATGGGAAAATATGGTATCAGTTTTCCCATGTTTTATCACACTACACTGAGCACATATATTTTGACTGAAATGTTTTATATTGGCAGAGTAAAGGTTCAAATTAAGCAATTGGATCTTATGCGAATGATATCTCCTAATGTATTTGCAAAACTGATTGTAAACTTATCATAAATTTTACTATTTGCACATGATTTACTGATTAATCCAAAATATTAGTAAAGGCATTAAAGATTCCAACATTGAAACTTACATTAAGCCAACTCATCGGATCTGTAGACATTGGTGTCATTGATGCTGATGAAGAGCCAGTACCTAAAATGCTGTTTATCAGAGTACATACAGGCGAGTATGGACAATTAGCCGCCACGCATAAACGTTCTTGCTCCTAGAAACAATAAAATGTGTTTGTTAGTCTTTAATCAAATGATGAATTTCGTCAGAAAATGTAAAGGTAGAGTATTATACCTTCAAGAATTTGACAGCAGCAATATTTCCATCCACTTTAAGCACAATACCCACGGGTTGAGTTCGACCGTCTTCGACGAAAACAACATCACTCAAACACCAGTCTTCTTCGGAAATACTATTACCGGATGCTCTATTATATCCACCGTCTGACTTAGTATTCATATCAGTGGTATCATTATTTAAATCAGTAGAACCACGTTTAGTTGTAGCACCAGTTGAAACAATAAAGGAAGAATCTCGATCAGCAGATCGACCACGTACATTGCGACCATTATTCTGATTGCCAATATCCCAGTCGCCTATGACACGATCGCTACGATCACCTGACACGCTAGAAACCTTTTTCCTCTCTATAAGAAAAGAGAAAAGTAAAAAAAAAAGCACAAAAACAATCAAGGATTACCGTCTTCATAGAATACAAAATGCACCAAAACGATACACAAATTTTGATCTTCAAAATACAGTCGCGTTAAAATACACCCTGACTTCCAACAAAAACGGATTTAATCCACTATCGGATTAGTCAAAACTGGTACCATCACATGGATATTATTTCATGTAACTGAAACTTTCAGTTGCATATCTCCACAGTCATTCCTGATAGCCCTGTTATTGAGCAAATTTATTTGTGTTAACCATCAGTTGAGCTGATAAGGAAAAGCCAGTGAAATTCATTTCAGGAATCATCGAGGGTAGGAACTGTTTTGCAAAAACTCAACGTCACCGATAAGAATATTTCCATCCCTATCTCCATGAGTGATATCGTAAGATATGTTGAGAAAGGTCTTAATTGATGTGAAATAAAAGTATGTCGGTCAACTGAGCAGACGATAATAAGAGTAAACAATGGGAATGCAATTCATCAATGATATATCAGACCGTATCACTTGGGTGTCTGTCTCACAGAAGATGGACCAAACTGAACCCACATACCGCAGATAAGAAAACAGCTGTCAAGACAAACCAGCCACAGCTATTCACTAAGCTAATAATTCCCCACTGTATTCCCTAGATGCTATTGTGGTAAGAAGCAATTTATGTATAATTTATGTATATTGATACAAAATAAAAGACGGGAATATAGCTAAAGAACTAGTCATAACCGAAGGTACCGATAATTAATTCTTAATTTACGTTTCAAAACTACTGAACCAGAATAAATTAAGCAGGACAACGGATGAAGTTGATTGACAGGAAAATATCTTACGAAAACATACGCTTCCAAGGTTTCAGCGTTTAAAAATGCACAATTCCTGATCAAAAACTGTCGACTAATATAAATCCAAGTATTTAGAAATCTGAAAGTGAGCATGTAAAACGGTATAAATTTAGACACTTGCAAACTGAACTCACTAAATGTTCCAGGACTAACTCTTACTGGACCAGACTGATCACTACATGTAGACGAAGCTGGTGAAGGTGGGGGCGGCATCTCTTGGAAAGTTAATGTTGAATTGTTCCCACTTGAAGAGGCAGGTACTTGATCATTAGATGACTGCGTCGACGAAGAATTATAAGCCAACGACCCCAGGCACTGTCCTGAACTAGATTGACTGGAAATGGATGCACCCAGTGCATATGGACAGGTTAGTAAGTGTTGAGAGGAATCAGAGGATAAAACAGGAGGATGAAGCGGGCCATCGTTAATTCCTGATATAAATGAAGAGGAGTTAACAGTGTTAACTCGAAATCTACAAACATCTGTAATTTTCCAAGCATCTTCAAGAAGTGTTCCTACCTGGAAAGATAAAAATTACACAATTATGTATGAAGACTATGGAATAAGTATAGACAGATCTTTAGATGACATGCTCATAGTAATATGAGGGTATAAGTAAAACAATTTTGTCAGTGTGCTAGGCATTTTTAGCTGTTGATTTGAAAACTTTGTTCACCATCACAGATATGTTAACTCAAAACAATGTTCAAGTTCAATCTAAGTCAAGTAGACATTCACATGAATTCATTAGTATTCTCAACTAGGAACATACCATGTCGAATATTTTGTGTATTTATATGCACAAGTCATTAAAATTTGGCTTATTCTTAGTTCACCTATTTTACAATCATTTGGGCGTACACTAGCTCCTGGAAATAACATAAGTTTTACAACACAACGATATTCGAAAACAGATAAATCCTCTACTTGGAATAACTAGCTTTAAAATCATTTAAAACATCAAAAAATTTATAATAGAATACACTGACACTGAATATACCTTTGGTACTCCATCCATCACAGTAAAACCAATCGCTCCAGCATGAAATATTGGAGCACTGCGTATGCAAACAAATGAACCCAGTACAATACCAGCATTCGAGTTAAACATATCATTCACATTCTGTGCATTGATTTCCCCTGTAACAGAACCTGTCGTCTCAGCAAAAGAGGTGTTATTATTACTTTGTAGAGATGAAAAATATCGATTTTTCATTAAATTCTTAGATGGTGCACTACCCTTTTTAGGAGTTGTAGGAGCACGATTTTGTCTTAGTTTTTCAATTGCTCTCTGTCGCATGTAAGAAGGATATACACCCCTAGAGAAAAGTAAATTAAAAAAATATGTAAAGTAAAAGTGAATAATCATTAAAACACAAAGTGTGTCAAATTTAACATCCGTGATGAACACTAAGACTCTCTCTCAACTGAAATAAAACAACTATTTTATTATTCACAAGTTTAGATGTAGCAACTGATCCTTCATTAAATTGACTGGATAGTTAAATAAACAATAGGAAATGAAGCTAGAGGTCCAATAGCTAAGGAAATGATTTAGGTAGCAAACTAAATACCACACACAAAATAGGAATAACATAAGTCTGAAAATATTCTCAACTTACCACCAGTACACCGAGCCCGACAAACAATGGACTACAGTCACTAGAGGAGCAGTGTAAATTTCACTAATCACCTCATCACGTAGCTCAGGAAACCAAATACCTCGATGCTCTATCCCCAAAGAACCAGAAGATGAACCTACTGAGTATGAAGAAGCAGGTAAAGATTGGATAAGACTCTCATCCATCCATGTGGCGAACTTTCCAGTATCTGTTAACACAGTTGCTCGTGTAGCACAACCAGAAAGCTTGATAACTTTCTCTTCCGCTAAACCAAGGTCCAGTACTCGTGGGTGATACACTCTGGAAATAGTTTGTTCTCCAAGCCCTGTTGGCTCTCCTTCTGAAATCTTCACAAAGAATGAAAAAGAACATCAAAACACCTGGGATTGTGACGGTAGCAACAAAACCTTCACTTTTCAGTGATTCACTGTCTACAATACAAATGAACATCTTAGGAAACGTTAATGCGTTGCAACACTATTTAAATGGTTGTAAAATAAATGCACAGTATTTAATGCAGTAGACTAAAATCAATTTGATCGGTAGAGTAAGGATAAATGAAGTGTCTACCGGTACGTTGAAAAAGGTACCTAAGTATTTAAACTACTCACCGCTAAATCCAAATAACAAGGAAAAATGAAATCTAGTGCTTTAATTCGATTCAAGACTAGTAAGCTTAATTATGATGATTACATAAATTTCACAAAATTTTACCCCGGCCGATAACTGCTACCTTGTCGTGGTGGTCGATTCTGAATACCGTAATGACCCAACATGCTAAACTGACTGGGACTCTGTCCCTGCAGGTCCTACCATGTCACGAAGGTTGTTTGGATAGAGGTTAAACTAAAAGCAGTTACCATGGGGTACATGGGCTCCAGTATCCAATCGGATCAAATGGCGTATGGACGCATATGGGTCACCGGAGACCATGGGAATGCAGCTCCTGACGCTGCTCCGCTGCCTTGCGGATCAGACTCCAAGTCAAAGGCTCGGGGGGTGGTCCCTTAATAAAACCACCTGCTTCGGTCTGGGCGCCCGGCCAGTATCTCAGCCCTCACACAATGACTTGAATAAAGCAACAAACAATCAATGGAACTTATTGCGTGCTATTACACGTGTTGCAATTTCCTTCTTTCTTCTCTTCCCGATGATAGTTGACCAATACTGTTTGAACTTGTTAAGCATGACTGTTTTCCTTCCAGATGAAGTTCTTTATCCATTCTCTACTTATATTTTTTTCTCTTCTTTCTTTTGATCTATGTTGTTTTATTATTATTGTGTGGCGCATCCTTCTTGGTGTCATATTGTACCAAGTGTTTATACGTTTAAATAAATAATAACACAAAATTTTACAGATTTAAAAAGTCTACAAGACCAAATAATACACCTACGTTCGAAATGTGAGTCGATTTCTTATCGTTAATATCTTTTGAATTCATATGACTAGTATTTTGCATAACAAAGGGTGTAGCATCTGCCCATCGCCATTGATGAAGTTCTCCCCAGGCATTTAAGGCAACTAATTCCGAATGTAGAGCAACGATATGTACGAAATGTAAATTTAAATCAGAATTGTCAGGATCTGGCCAGAATTCAAGTGTATCGCATAGCTGAACATAATAGCGAATAGAGCCGGCAGACTGTTTTGCATTATCACTTACCTGAAAAGGGAGAAAATAATGGTTTAAAACTAAATATCATATAAAACTGCCTTAAACATTATAATATATCATGTAAATAAGTAAGTGTACTTAATTGATCTAGACACAGAATATTAACTGTCTGACAACAGTGGCATTAGCCTGGTATTATATCAATATGACAACCAGGAACTTAATTTACATTAGGGAACATTAGAAACATTGAATTTGGTGAAATTTAAATGACATTAACCATGCCAATTATTATGTGAAATATCAAGAAATTATAAGATAAACAAAGGTATCTTACTGAATCTGAAGTGTTTGAATTTCTCGACGGATCAGTAGCAGATCTGTTGTAAGTGGAGTCACTGATGACAGAAGCATTGCGTCCAGTATAAAGTTCACCGCTTCTGCTATATAAATGAGGGTCAATTCGCCGACGTTTGCGACGATCAGTAATGAAACTATAGTCTGAATAGAGAGAAGGAATGATGGTTAAAAATAGCAAATACAAAAAATCAAAAATCACGCTGTTATGGAATTATATGAGAAATTAACTGAACTGGGACTACATTACAAATAATATAGATAGGTAGAATAAAGCAGTTACATAAAAATAAACTGAAATTTCCTTGAGAAAAGTTAATTCTCAATTTCACATAGGCCTATTCAACTTTTAGTTTAAGGATTGAATGTCTTGATAACTTCACTTATTTGGGAAATTGCACGAGCCTGAATGAACTGACCGCTGACGAAATCTCAGTTCGGATATAAAAGGCTCGTATGGAGGTCGCTAACTAGCATCATTTTCCGCACTGACATGTCGTTCAGCTATCTATCAAAAGGAACAGCTATAGAGAAAAAATTACAAGTTAAAGGAATAAATATGAAAGTTACTGCAGTTATCTATTACTCACCAATCCGCAGTAATCAGTCACATGTTCTGATAAATACTACAATCTTTAAGTACTTATTCTATGAAATATTGTGTGCAAAGCATGTAATACGAAGCGTTTTCAAAGAGGTTGTAAGTTAATCTGCCTGTACAAGTTATCAGCCAGAGGAAGGAGCGAAAATATGTTTTCGACAAGAGTGACTTATTTGCAATTGATAGTGTTCTCTGAGCTCCACAATTAAACCAAGGAGCTCAGAGGACACTATCAATTGCAAATCATCCACCTGAGTTACAAATCTTTTCTATTATTTCAAAGAGTGGCTTATGGTGACAAGTGACTACACGTCACTTTTTCACCCCAGGCTATTTATCGCAGGCAATTTTTATGCTTCATAAAGACTTTACGACTCTGAATTATGAATTTCCTGCGGCACCCAAAAAGTGTCTCTTTAATGTACACGTATTGTCATTAAAATTTGTTAGACTTCATATGAAATATAATATCAACTCATACTTTGCACTTCAACCCCAAATGAGAATTAAAGAATATCGTCCACTTTCCTAGAACACTAGTGGGATGCTAATAATAGCAATTAATACAACAATAGAGTATCAACTATGATTATCTGCGGGAAGCTAATTTTATGCAATGAAACATGATTCATTCAACTCACCGTAATCAGATGTCAAATCACTACGAAAACGCGGTGATGTTGGGGGTCCAGCAGTTTCATCAGCATTTGAGCCATCATTTTCGAAAATCCCATGACTATCCGGATATTCAAAAAATGATAACAGTTCAACTGCTTCGTCGTCCCAGTAGTAGTCATCTGGATTCCCACTACCACCTCCTTGAGCATTGCCATCACTGGAATTTCCTCCGTTGCCTTGTTCTGCCTCGTCATCACGTGAAAGCAGATTGTTCACCGCCATATTGACGTCCAAATTTGTGTTTTGCAGTTCACGCACAATTACTTGACGCGATTTCCCCTAAAATTAAGCAGATATTTTAAATCTAACGTTTAAACCAACAGCAAGTTGCATCATTCAAAAACAGCATATAGTTTTATTGCAATCTTAAAATACTTCAGTTTGCTGGAGAGAAAAATGACAGAGAAATAATCATGGAATATAGATAAGTAGTGATTTAATTTTGCGGAAGTATATCATTACAACCAAACACGATTTCTAGAAAAATTGTAAGGGTGTTGTTATTACTCGGCCTTACGATACATGCATGAAGTATAGATAAAGCATCACACTTACTTGCAAAACAGTTTGGCACTCCTCAATAAGAACCTCAGGGATTTCGCTTTCAGGGATTTGATGTGCAACCGGTCTTGCAAGGTAAATTCCTTGACGGTGCATTTCACGTAGAAAACTAATCCCTCGGGAGGTTCTACCAAGAACAGTTAAAGGTGATCTGTATGAACGCCCCGCATGTTGGGTATTTCCAGTACGAGACACAGCTCCCTCTCTAACAGAGCCAGACGAATCACTATAAGGTGTCCCTTGCTTTTTCCTTTTGAAATAAGTCAAAAGTTATTCACTTACTTTTTATCAGACTTCTGAGATAAACGATCTGAATTTATGGTATAAGCCACGCGACAAACTTGGCCATCCTAACATAATAAATACATCTTATATCAAAACTTACCTTTAGACGGAAAGCAATATGTGACGGGCCTATCACACACTGAGCAATAGAATCTCGCGTTAATGGACGCAAAACATCGGGAATGGAAACCCCATCTCGTTTGATTTGTTCTGAGATTTCCTTTAACCTTTTAAAAGAAAACCATTATTAGTAAGACACTAGTGAACAGCAGAGAATTTGTGGGAGAAGTTTTGGGCTACAAACTCACTACTTTGGCGATCACCATTCCGAATGTTTATCAATGATTCCCATTTCTAAATGGGTTGGGTTGACTAAAGCTAAATTAGGTGCCATTATTGCCAGTCTGAGCGACTTCTACAAGAGATTTGACGAATTTACGTTTCTGGAGTTTTTCCCCAGTTACTAAAAATCTTTCAAAGTGCTCAGAATTTTGCCGGCCAGCTCCCACAATCTAGAGGGTAAGCGAATGGTACAGCAATGTCTTACGAGGTCACTAGGGTTCCTCTTATCAGTTAAATAAGATTCAGAGATTACATAAACTTTAGCCATGTATTAATAATTCAGGAGCAAAGCATTTAGATATTTTGGGGCACTGAGTGTGCAGCAATGATAAACTAATTGGGAAAATAGTGGAAGCATTGATGCGGCTAAGAAATGGATAGCAAAAGAAAGGGAGGCAGAAACAAAGACACAATCATTTGGCAAATTTTTCCACTAATAGAAGCATACAGACGATTAATAGTTCTAAGTAGTGCTACTAGCAAAACAAAAACACTTGTGCAACATGACAACAAACTGTCATGTAAATATAGTTACCCAAAATCTCTTTACAAATAATTGTAGCTAGTGTATTATGCATTCCTTGTGCTCTCAGAACTCAGTTATTCGGGGTTCATTTTGAAGGCACCATTATCCAAGCCATTTTGTTGATGATTCCGAAGGTGGGAACTAAATCCGAGAAGTTTAAAATAATAATCATGTTTAAGTCAACAAGCTACTTCTCCATTCGAGACTAACGACATAATGTTCCAACTAACTACCTAGGTTGAGGCAGGGGCCTTGCGATATGCACTTAGAACAGCTGACTTAAAACCTGTCAATATGAGTATGGTTAATACAACTTCAAGTGGCCTCTAACACTTAACACCATCGACAATCTGGACATGTAGATGGCCTCATTTATTATAAGGCGAATGTGAGTAGATTCCACATTAGATAAAGACATAAGAGACGGACATGACATAACGACATACAAAAGATTATCTCAGCTTTCATACGTTCAGAATACATCATACTCACTTTTCATGTAAATCATTTTGCAGCTGACTGTAAGAACTTCCAACTTTACCATGATCCTGAGCAAACAGAAAGATGCTCGACATGGCACTAGAAAGTTTCAAGCATGAAGGTCGTCTGAAAAATCAAATGAGCAACGTGAAACAAGCCACTGTGATGATTAAAACTAAGCTGTTTAAGGTACCAGTCTTATGTATAATTCGTGGGAATAAGTTATAGTTTTCATGATTTCTACCCGAATCATAATATTTGTTGTTATCTAAATAAACTTCTAACCCTTCTGGAGATACTTTAAGTGTTTCGAGTCTTGTTCTTCATGGGAGTGCGTCGGTGGCACAGCGGTTAAGACGCTCGCCGACCATGCACATGGTCCGGGGTTCGAGCCCCGGCCGGCGCACACCTTTACCTCTCTAAGCCAGTAGTGAGACTGGTTGGGCATGAGGCTAGCAACCCAATCCTGTAAAAAATCAACACTGCTACGGAATCTTCAAGCCTATAGCTTGGAGCCCTATGTTCCACTGGGAACGTGAAGGAAAAAAAATATAAAATATCTTCATGGGTACTTGTCGAACTAGGCTCGGGCACAGTCGGTAGTCCTCCTCTCTACTTGTGACATAAATCAACTAATGTCTTAGTTCATCTGAATAAGATATAAAATTTTTCTCCGAAAAGCCGCAATATTTTACTCTGTTCAAAACGTATGGCTCGCTAGAGTACTTTCTTAGTTTACTAATTTGTTTTGTTTATCAGTGGTTACACGCCAGATAGTGTACTGACTAGGTGATTAATTAGGCATACTGCCTTTAGCAAGGCTAGTATTTTGTAACGTATCTTAAAACGCTTCCAGCGGGTTTACGCATTTACACGAAGGGTATTATTGTTAGAGATACCATAGCCCTGCCCTCTCAGTACCTACTCTATTTCTGGGGTGTACATTATCGCACTTCGCAAACCCTTCTCAGGTCAAATACCACCAAGTTTTCCCGTCGCAGTCATTCCACTTCAAAATGAAGCAAGAAAATGATCTGAAGCTAAAGTGTCGTGTCAGAAATGGTTAATACTCTCTTATTTCCTGTTGTAACCCACTGTATTAACATATACAAACGAATAAAATATCTCTGCAGTCATCTTGCTTATGGGGAGTGTCTTATCTTGCGTACCTGCATCTGATATTTATATACGGCTGACATCCTAAAGTTCTCTTAACCAAACGGTTTGGAAAAGGAGACTTTGAAATTATATCCCATCCTGGATGATTAAATGTTATCGTGGCCTTGTTCCACTGTTGTTCAACACATGCCACTGTCGATGCGGAACTGCAGAATGCCATCACTCGTTTTATCCTCCTCCGAGGGCTCCTCCTAGTTAGGTCACTTGACGAAGTGGGAGAGCATATTCATATGTGAGTTCATCACAAAATGTGCAATTTTACCTTTGTATCGCAGATATATCGTTCGATTCTTTGTAAATTTCCAACACGAGGTGAGGAAAGCTGTGCAGGGTATCGCGGATTATGACTTAACTGTGAGTATTTTTTAGCTATGAAGTGGATGAATTTCCGCAATCAATATCCATATATCATCTCACAACGCACATAATGCCTATTTAATCAGCCCTCTTCAAAGAGTTTAAGTGCTGTCCCGATGTCTTAATGTTTCAGCGTAATTGGAAAGCTCAACTAGTTCCTCAATATATTCCTATACTCACTTCTTTATGACATAGTTTTCTTGTCTGCTTTGATCTGTGCCCAGCGTAAGGTGAAAAGTAGTTATATCCAGTGTTTCTGAACACTTCATCACGAAATGTGAATCCCGGTATAAGAAGGCTTACAGTATATTCTCAGTTTTCTGATTCGACTGTCAGGTAACATAGGTAGATATAAATCCATACTAATATTCACAAATCCATAATTTGATACAGAGTGACGTGTTTTCTCGTCGGATGTTACTTTTGTCATTTGTGAAAGGTTATTAGATTCTGGACAGGGTCATGTTTATTCATCCACCATCATCCTGTGAGATTTAAACCATGTTTTGACATCAGATATCCCTCAGCGGAATATTCTCTCCACATGCCTCGCATCGGCTTGGTTTGCACTATCCGATGTTTGGACTTTTTTGACATTAACACATAAAGAATGGCTTGAGCGCCATGTCTAACTTTTCCTCTGTGCTGTTAACATGTGCGTCTTCGGCGTTTGCATTTCGGGCTGACTAGATAGACAAATTCTCAATCCTTCCCCCTAAATAACCTCTACTTTGTACTTTACTCAAGTAAACTGCTCATTGGTGTACGCTATCAATTATCTGAGTCTTTTTAATGTGCATTTCGTCGTCAGCGCTCACAAGTTGGGTAGGGTTTTGATTTCTTCGGTAACCAGGCAAGTTGAGGTTAGAAAGGGTTGGTTTAAGGTTGCTTGTCATTAACTCTGCAGGTACCTTACAGACAATTCCTTCTTGAGACCACAAAATTAATGAAGTATTGCCTCATAAGATAATAAGCGTCATGCCCAATGATTTTCTACTTAACATTAAATTACACCATATGCCACATTCCGTGATTCGTCGTCGACGTTCACGTTTAATATTTGCTTTAATTCACGCTTTTGCCAGCCACCATTCATTCCGTTCAGAAGTTACACGTTTGTGTTTTAACACTGTTTTACCGCAAAATTGAGTGGTTTGAAATAAAAATACTTCACATACTTCTCCGGCAAGACAGTTTTGCACAGTTTTCATAGTTTTGGTGTTGGTATGACTCATTTTGATTCACTTTGGTCTACTGTCTACTGAGCTGAATTCTGCAGATTCAAATATTCCTTAATAGTTATCTGAATATTTTCCCGTAACAATAACAGGATGATTAAAATTTCAAAAATGTGAAGTTTGAGGATGATCTGTAGTTAAATATCAGAAAGATAACTCTGAGAAAGGTGAGCAACATTTAAAAGTTCATACTGGAAGTTCTTCTTCGACATTTCTAAGAACGTCTAAGCCAATCACGAAGGCATGGAAGACAATGGATTAAACGATAAAACAGTGAGATTATCCTTTGGTACACAGTTGGTAGCTGGGATTAACCCCATAGATTATTTCTGATCGGATGAGATGCTAAAACCTTGTTATGTGATGGTTGGCCTAAAGCAGCTTGGACAGTCACTTTTGTACGAAGGCACGGTTTATGTTTTAAAGAACCAAAGCAATGATCTGTTAAGCCATTTTTCTCGAGAAGAGTCAAAATATTACAATTCCTTCTCCCAAGTTTCTTGGCAACATGTGGAGTAAGTTACATGAATAGTCCGTGTATTTTTGGATGTCCCCATAATGAAAACAAACTGATTCGTGCTCTAAGTGCACACATAACCAAAAAATTTCTTCAGAGCTGTCATATTTTATTGCCACACATGAGATGTTTATATTAATGTGCTTTTGAGGATTTGTAAATCATAACCACTGAATGTTTCTGAACCCGAAAACATCTAGTATATGCACTGAAAGAAATAAGGTAAATAATGTGAATGAATACAGAAATGAAAAAAACAAATGATAATTAACACACGCAAGACGATTCAGAAGGATGGAGAGAATGTCTTAACTGTCAACACTAACGTGTAACATGAAGTCACACCTCCGTGGATTGATATCCCTGAATATCCGTTAGCGAACCCAATATGTGTTCGGTAAGCGACATACATCACCCGATAAACTTTATCACTACACATATAGCCAAAAGAGCGGGGACGAGCTGATGAGATCAATAATATAATACCCAATGATCAGAGACTGGAAACAGTGAAGCACATCTCGCTTAAGCGAGAAACAGTGTATAATGTGTGCACAAGACATCGCAAACTGAATGACCCGTTAGACCATCACTGCCAAGTACGCTTTCAGCTTTAAAAGTGTCTGAGTGCAAAGTACTTTACAAAATCACGACTGTCAATGTACTTGAAGAAGGAACGATCAATTCATGGTTGTTCGCTCAAACCCAAATCCGTATTTTGGCGGGAGTCTCTGATACTGCAGTCATCGTTCCATCATTCGTCATTCGTTAGAAGACGCAGAAATACTATCAGAAGTATTATTGTGATTAATTGTTATGACGTTTTATCTTAGACTTCGTGTATAATAACCTTATTGTTGGTTACATATTGGCGCAAGAATAAAGGATTCTCGAGTCGCCAGTCCGTGTTCTGGTTTTTCATGTCGGTTATTTCACATCGTTGCTGAAAGTCTCCTAAGGACAGCGTTAAGTCCAGTGTAGTTAAACCTGGACATTGACAGTTTCTGATATCTCCTGGAGCTATTCGTCGTCTTTGTTGGCTATTCGTCTTTCCTCGCGCCCACAAGTCTTCTTTGGACGAGTGTTATTTGGAACTTTTCTGGATCTTTTGGTCAAGTTCAGTAATGCCTGGGCCAAAGAAAGGACAAAGCGTTTTGGAAGCAGACAGGGGAGTGAGTAATGATGAGTTGCATGCTATTTGTAACGGTGTGTATGATGCTCAGTATGATAAGATTGGTGTCCATGTTCCACCGTCTAGTGAAAGTTTTAAAATTCCCAAATTTGAGCCACGGTGTTTCGACGGAAAACCAGCTGACTACCCACAGTTTGTAACGCAGTTTGAGGTCATGTTGAGTGAGTTTGCAATAAATGACGAAGTGAAGTTAAAGATACTCTATAGAAATACTATAAATGCAAAGGTGCGATAACAGACGCACTTAAGTGGACATTAACTTTAAAGGATAATTATAACTGGAAAAGTTATATTTTATGAAAGAATAAGACTAAATATTTAATACTGTCTTTGAGAGACCCATTAAAAACCGCCTACAGAGTAAAAAAGAATTGGGAAGTAACGCGCGAAAAAATAACAAAACCTTCGAATTGGCGACTAATTACAATATGTCCACACACCTACCCGTGGCAGCGATATGTTGGAACTTGCGTTCCGTCACATGTTCCGTGTTTCAACGTATGTAAGCAACAGATTTTACAATAGCGATCAGATAACGATGCTTTGCTGTGTGCGAACCTCATTATTGATCGCGAGAAAAGGACATGATATACGGGAAACGGAATGACACTA